CGCACGTTCCGCTTAGATTTTGGAACCCCGAGAAATACCCTGGAAACCAGAACAATCTGTAATCAGCATAGGATGCGGCCTCGAGCATACTTTATTTTTGACTTCAGACGGAAAAGTATACTCATGCGGATGTAATGATTTTGGTCAATTGGGTCACCAACAGATGACTAAGCGGCCACGTATGTGAATACACTAAATATAAGACTATATAATTATTTTTTCCATGAAATTCTTGTACACCAACTTGTAGCATTGTCAGCACTATATACGTTTCAGCAGGTGTGTGATAAATTTGAGGTCATGAATGAAATTGGTTACTCGATCAAGTAACGCTTTAATTGCTTTCCCTATTGGCTATAGTGAACCTAAAATATATCATTTTAAAATTTCTTAACAGTGGCACGTTTTTCGTTAAAACACTTTATCAACAAGTATATCGTCGTTTAAAGTACAAAACCGCGTTTTAACATAATGCAAAACCGCGCATAAAGATAATGCAAAACCACGTACGTGAGGTTGCATATATTATTTTGTAGAGAGTAAAAACACTCATATTTCAAAATTGTTCTCTCTTTTATAAAGTAATCGCATTTCTGGCTGGTATATTTTAGGACAAATGGATAAGGGTTAAGCCAAGAGCTTCGGTGAGCAAATCCAATTTTTGGCAAAAAATGTCAGTTACGCGGTTTTGTACTTTAAACGACGCTATGCGTAACAACAACAATAAATAAATATTTGCATCGTCATTATCTTCATTCTTTAGTAAACTTACGATTTTTAACACATTTCAGAGCTTATAAATGATCTCGGTAATACTGTTATCACGGAAATAAGTGGTGGCGCTAGGCATTCATTAGCGCTCAGTGAATGGGGCCAGCTTTACAGCTGGGGCCATAACGACTATGGGCAACTGGCACAACAAGATGGATTAGATGTTGTGCCTTCCCCGAAAATGATCAAAAAACTTGCTACTCAAACTGTTATACAAATAGCAAGTGGTTATAATCACAGTCTTGCATTAACTAATTGTAAGTATACAAACCTATAATTGTCAAAATGCTATAAATGTAATTGTATCTACAGGTGGCGCTTTATACTCTTGGGGTTCAAACATCTATGGCCAATTAGGAGTATCACCGCCAAGTGAATTGGCTCACGCCACTTCTCCTCGTATAGTAGACTCATTGCTGGGAATACCTATTGCTTTTATTGCATGCGGGGGCAATCATTCTTTCATTATCTCAAAATCTGGTGCTGTATTTGGCTGGGGACGCAATAATAGTGGACAATTAGGACTAAACGACACTACACATCGACATTTTCCAACACAATTGAGAACAATTCGTAGCCTGCGTGTGCGCTATATAGCCTGTGGTGAACAATATTCTGTATTTTTAACCAACGATGGTGGTGTTTTCACATGTGGCAAAGGTTCATACGGTCAGCTGGGTCATGGCGGCAACATGAATGAAGTATTGCCAAGAAAAGTAACTGAGTTAATGGGTAGTACAGTTACCCAAATTTCATGCGGAGCCCAACATACGCTTGCTTTAGTGCCATCTCGTGGTAGGGTGTACGGTTTTGGATTAGGTTGTTTTGGACAATTCGGTACACGCAAAGTGAATAGCTGTTCGCTGCCACAAGTCATGGTTGGACCTTGGGTATGTTATAACCCTTTTTTTTTGTTTTTGTTAATTTCGATGTAAAGTTTATGAAATCGTATATTTCAGGTATCTCCCAGCGGTTCCAAACTACTGAATACTGAGACCAAAGATAATCCAGACATGGGTTTTGTAATACGGCAAATTTTTTGTGGGGGCAATCATTCATTTGTAACTACCTCTCAATTCATTGACAATATACTTGCCTTCGATTGTCGCATTTACGAGTATGTGATTTAAAGATAACAGAGAGCGAGTTAACTGCATAGATCTTTTATTTACAGGCCTAAAACTCAAATCATGTGTATAACTAGTGAATTAGCCAAGCAATGTGCAATGGTTGAGAAGGATTCATCAATCGACTTGGACCTATTAACAACCGTAGAAGTGATTTTTAAAAGTCAAGCTTGCCTTAATGGATCCTTTTTGCTTGGAGATAAGCATTTTTGTTGCACCTCGAAGCAACCTGGGGTTGACTTAGTAGAAGTTAAACAAACATTTGACTACATACGTAAAGTAGAACACGAAAGCCTTAAACAAATAGTGGGTACACGTTGTACCAAGCCTATTAATATTACTTATATATATATATTTTTTTTTGTTGATTACCTTATAGATTTGGGACAAAATTACAAATGAAATAATTACATCCCTCATGCCATCGCCGGCGGACGTAGAAACTTTAAGACTTTATTTAATTTTGCCTTTATATCATGAATTTGTTAATTCTAAAAATTATGAAAATCTTCATACGCCCTTTAGCAATGCTGTACTTCGACTTAAGGAGATACCTAGGAAAATCGTTATTATGTGGTGGGCCCAAACGCCTATTGAATGGTTTGAAAACTTGGTGTCGAGCTACAAAAATGTAGTTGCTCACATTATCAGTTTTAAAATAGCTGCAAACTCCAGAGGTCACTTTGAAAAGAAGGTAATAATCAGTAAAAGCAAAAGAAATCTTCCACTTTTTCATTTGCTAATGCGACTTTTTACTTGTGTTTATATTTTGCATACAGCTCGTTACTTACAATTCCAACTTGTCAGCAGCTTTAAATTTGCTGGTTGTGCTTCATCGCATTAATCATAAAGAGCGTGCTGAAAAAATAGATTATGACATTTTCCACTGGCCAGAACTGACCGATTATGTTGACATTCAACAAGATTACATACATTGGCTCTTTGAAAAGAATGTAAATAAATGCACAAACAACACTACATTGAAACCTTGTGGAATTAATTTTTAATTTTTTCCTTTGCAGCCCGATACTTTCAATATATGTAATTATCCGTTTTTGTTCAATGCATCAGCTAAAACAACGCTGCTGCAGACAGATCAAGCTATCCAGATGCATGCGGCAATGCAAAACGCCGCCAATTCGGTATTTTTTTAATTTTTTGCAATAAATGCTTTGGCATTTGTTATTTTTTCCTATGTTTTTTGCAGGGAATACTATCGCTGTTAACATTTGGAACGCCTATTTCACAGTTCATTGTTTTAAATGTTTCTCGCGAGAATTTAGTGCAGGACACTTTGCGGGAAATAATGCAATATAGTCAAAGCGACTTGAAAAAGCCACTGAAAGTATGTATTAGCAACTAATAAGTTGATGTTGCATCGAAATAAGTATCAGAGAGTGCATTGTTTGAAATTTTACACACGCAATTTTAAAAAATTTTTTATGTACTCCTTTTGTACAGATCAAATTTCATGGAGAAGAGGCCGAAGACGCTGGTGGTGTTCGAAAAGAGTTCTTCATGTTGTTATTAAGAGACCTTTTGGATCCGAAATACGGCATGTTCAAAGAATTTGAAGACTCACGTACACTTTGGTTTGCTGATGTTACATTTGAAACAGAGGATATGTACTTCTTGATTGGAGTGATATGTGGCCTAGCGATATACAATTTTATTATAATAAATTTACCATTCCCATTGGCGCTTTATAAAAAATTACTTGATGAACCTGTTGATATTAGTGATTTGCGCGACATTTCACCTGCATTAGCCAATTCAATGGAATCCGTTTTGAATTACAATCAAATTGATTTCGAAGAGGTTTTCAACTTAAACTTTGAAATATCCCGTGATATCTTTGGTGAAGCGATAACCGAGGAGCTAAAACCTAATGGTAGCCAAACAGCTGTTACTTTGGAGAATAAGTAAGTCAGTCGGTGGAATTTTANTAAAACCTAATGGTAGCCAAACAGCTGTTACTTTGGAGAATAAGTAAGTCGGTGGAATTTTTAACTAAACACACGCTTAACAGACATTTTTACAGAAAAGAGTTTGTAGACTTATATGTTGATTTTATTTTCAACAAGGCAGTGGAGAACCAGTTTACCGCGTTTCGTAAAGGATTTATGAAGGCAATAATCTTTAGGCAATTTTATATCTATGTAATTTAAATAACGAATTTTTAATCTTAAAGGTATGCTGGGGACGTGTACTGCAAATATTCAAACCCGATGAATTGATGGCTGTGGTTGTTGGCAACGAAGAATATGACTGGCAAGCGCTGGAGCTACAATGTGAATACAAAAATGGTTACAATTCCGGCGATCAGACGGTTGGTCAACTGATTTTTTTTTTGTATACGTTTTTTATATATACCTTCTTAATGTTAACAGATAAGATGGTTTTGGGAGGTCTTCCATGACTTACCGGAAAGTGAAAAGAAAAAGTTTCTTTTGTATTTGACAGGAAGTGACCGTATACCCATTCAGGGAATGAAGGCCATTAAAGTAAATTAACTCCCGTTTTACTTTTATGTGACCAATGTTTCAAATTCTGTATTTTTAGATTTGTATACAACCAACAAATGACGACCGATTTCTCCCTGTAGCTCATACGTGTTTCAATTTATTAGATTTGCCTCGCTACAATACAAAAGAACGTTTGAAATATAAGTTACTTCAGGCCATTCAACAAACTCAGGGTTTTAGCTTAGTATGACTTATAAATACAAATTTCAAATTAAAAATTACATTAAGAATAATTAATTATTTTCGCCAGACAAAAAATTCCTATAAGGGTATACATGGATTTGTTTTCGTTGAGTCGATAGGTTGTTTTGAATATTGATAGAAAATTTTTATTGTTTAATCCAAAATTTTTAATGAAACTGTTTGCATGTGTAAGCATATGTATTTATGAACATAATATTTGCAAATAATAAAATGTATTGAAAGTTTCGCGTTAAATGAAAGCTTATTTACATACATTTATGTGCATATTTTGGTTATCATATATACTAGCTTGTACCTGTATAATGGCTTATGCTTATAAAACAATAACAACGTCCTTACAAATCACTATTCTTAGTATAAAAACAATATAAAAATTGTTATTATCAATATCACTACATATTTTACATTTAACGGTAAAATATTTTTTACATTTTTATAAATGCTTTAGAAAAATGCTGTAAGTTGTTATGGAGGAATAGCGAGTGTTCGGAAAGTGTTATAGTTTGAACTAAACATATAAACATGCATATTATGTATAAACATTTTCTAGTATTTGAAATAAAAAACTAAGAATATTGTAAACTTTTAAGGTGACGTATGTAGTAGTCGTTTTAGACATTTTTCTCAGACACATCAAATCTCCAGAAGTCTACATTGATATCAACGCTCTTGCTTTTGTGAAATGAATAGCTGGTGTCAATATTATATTTGAGCTCCGCCACCACATTGCCCTTGACATGCCAGTCCTTAACCTTTTTTTGTATGTAGTCGCTAGTGGAATCAAAAAATATAAAATTATAGACGATATTTGTACATTGCTGAAAAATTCATAGGCAAATAGGGAAAATTACATACAGTGCCGGACAAAAAAGTGTTGCCACATAGAATTTCTCGCAATGTATGCAAAATTTTTTATTCTAACTTTTTCGTTATTTTTTTATAGAATAAAGTTCATACAACCTAAAAATATAAAAAAAAGAATAATAATCTGAGTTCGCAGACTCTGCACGTGTAAGGCCCAGGGTGCTGCTAACACAACAACAAAACAATCTCCAAACTTGTAAAAAACTCATAAATATTCAATAAATGTACATACTAGTTTGCAGCTTTCTAATCAGATTTTTTAGAAAATCCTATGTATGCAGTTTTATAGCCCAATCAGTTTTAGTATAACAAAGTGCAAGTTTGAAGATGCTAAAAAATCGCGTTGATTTTTGTCAATTTTTTCCACAAAGTTTCTTCGAGAATTTGTTTATATGTTATAATAAAAAACTTTCCATACATTGCGAAAAATTCTCTGTGCCAATACTTTTGTCCGGCACTGTATGTACATCATAAAAAAAAAACTTTCAAAATCTTAACCTCATATGTATTGTGAAAAATTTAATATCCTCTATAAAGTTCAGAGCACTTTAAAATGTGTAAGTTGCCGTTAAATTTTTGACCTTATGGTTTTCATTCAGCGAATGTACAATATCAACAAATAAATGTATTATCTAAAACCAACAACATTTTGCTATACCGTGTTGAGCTTTTGTGAAATGAATAAACTGCTCCTGATGCTAGAGTTATGCCAGTCTGAACAAAACACATATCGATACCACTGTTATTTTTCGTACCAAAAGGTGGATTGGTAACAATCGTATCAAAAGCATTTTCCCATTTCTTACTGTTAGGCAATGTCAATACGTCACATAAAACGCAATCTAAGTTCGGTAGTTCCATATCTGTTACATTTTCACGAAATATCTTTAAAAAAAAATTAGGAAAAACAAAGTTGTTACTCAAGTACGAATTAATATGCATATAACAAATGCTATTTACATTTAAGGCATCATCATCGATTTCAAAACCTACGGTCATACCAGCGCCGAGCAGAAAAGAGCCGATACTCAACATCCCAGAACCACAGCCCAAGTCAGCAACATATTTTCCTTCGATATCACCGTATAATGTCTGAAATATGAGCATTGCCGACATCGTTAAAAGCTATTACATATTTTATTGAATTACAAACATGTGTTAGCAAGGCACACAACCACAACATTCATCGATGTATTTAAACGCATTCACATAGGGGACTATGCGGCAATAGCAAATAATAGTTATTATCCACAATCCTTAAAAACAAAGGGCATTTTATACAGACCAACACATTTTTTGTTAATATATAATTGGGAAACAAAGGAAAGTGTGTTACATTGATATTATTAAAGCATGTTGGGTGTCTGTAGTTTCAAATGGAATTGTATGGGTCGATTACGGATAGCAACGACACCTCAGTTGGGTTGCCATGGGCAGAGCATTGATTTTTTTTTCTTCTGGATTGATTTTGTTGGCTGGTTCTCAGCAAAGCTAGATCATAAATAAAAATCTGTAATGAATAGCAAAGATAGTAAAGTCCTATAAATTTGAAGATGATAAGGAATCTATCGTAGAAGATCTTCGAATTCGAATGCCTGCTACGAATATGAAAAAGTTGCTATCACTGAATCCGAGTGAACTCGAAAATATCGTTGCCAGCTTGCAATGCTGATTCAAAATTAGCTAAGGCAAATGGAACAATAGACATTTATGCTGCCCCAGCAGGCACTAAACCATTATCCTCGCTTCATACTTACGTTCGTAGCCATTCGGATTCTGTGATAGCACTTTCGTAGATTTCACGAAAAACGAAGCTACGATGAATTCTGTAATAGCCCTGAATAGAATCTTGAAGTATCTGGAACCAAGAAAATCTAGTGTGAATAACCTGCAGAAACAGTTGAGACCATAAAAACTTTTGCGACAACCATAAAAATTCAGTTAGCAACTCATTTACCAGCGTTTAGTTGCCATATGTGCCACTGGCAACGCAACTGAAGTTCGGTTGTCATCCGTATTACCGAGTCGAAACAAATTGAAGCAGCAACGAAACGAGATTAAGTAGCCAAACAAACGCAATGGTTGTGTCCTTACTTATATTTTATGAATTGTTCATCTTTACTGCTAGACCTGTATGTTGTAGAGCACACAACTTGCTATATGCGGGGGAGTAATGTACTGTTCTAATTTTATTTTCGGTTTTTCAAAACTATCCAAACCATTTAAGTACTCCTCCAGTTTTTTCAACTTTATGCACGCCATAATTTTAGTTCATCGGTGGCGCAGGATCAAGGCGGGGTAAAACAGGTATAAAAGTGTTTCCGTAATAAGAATCTTGCGATACAAAGAATCCTAATGTAGTGGATGTTGTTGCATTAAACACCGAGCGTGGTGCGTTTGCTAATCCACTACTTTGAGAAAAGTCCGAGGATTGCAAAAGTTGACTTGCAGGTATCTATAATCGATTTAGTATTCATTTCATATTTGTATGTTGCGAGCTACATAGTTACATACTTGATAAAGGCTATTTGTTGATATTCCTGCACCTAGTCCGGGTATGTTGCCTTTCTGCAATAGTTGCTTCTTCAACTGTAGATCCTCGAGAATTTTTCGGTTGGTTTCTATTTTAAATTGCAACTGAGTACATGAAGATATACCTTCGATATATTTTATAACTTATTTTACCTTGTTGAGCCCCCAATGTAGGAAAATTCGCCATTAACCCGAGATTTTTATATATATCAATACAAGGAATTTAACCAGAAAGTTCAATAAAAAGGAAAGACAAATATTTAAGCGGCACTCGCACTATACAACAAGTTAAGCTGAAATTAGTCAAGAACGTAAACCTACCGGTACGTAAACTCGAGTCAGCTGACACGATCTGTCTTATCAAAGCGCCATGTAAATGAAAACTCAACACCGCAGAATTTTTCTGTAGTTGTAGCCCGTAGCGCAGAAATCTGCGGAATTTAGATTTTTCCGTGTCAGCTGATTTCTCCTTCTTTAGATGGTTGCCACTTCGTCAGTTTTGCAGATGGTAAAAAAGTTATAAGTTCCTATTCGAAATATGTTTAAAATATTTGAAATTTACTATTAAATAAGGTTTTTGTTGAAAACTAAGTAATTTATATTTAGTTACAATCTATTATAGCACGAAAAATTGTGGTTGAAAGGGTAAGTTTATGAAAAGGCATTGAAGAGTGGCAACACTGTAGTAAGCAACACTGAGGGCTCCAGTAATCGACAAAATTCTGCGTATACAGACTGCGTTTAAGTATACGTTCTGCGTTCTCGACTAATTTCAGCTTTACGCTGCAACTTACTTAGGGTTAACACCATGATTCAATAATACCAGGTTGGCTAAATATTGACATTGGTGTCAATCGACTGCCTTGTAAGGTTGCATTTGAGTAGGAAAAGTAAGTAGTCTGGTAGTGCTGAAATGCGTTTTTGTATACAAATTAAATATAAATATATATATATAAGTATATATTAATCAAAATTAATGGAGTTCAAACAAATCCTTTATTCAAAGGGACTATATGAAGAATTAAACAAATAGTAAAGATTCAGTTGATTTAATGCATATAAATTAATCTTTTAAAAATTATTATATTTGTTGCATTTAAAGATTAAATGTTCAATATCTTAAATTGAATTACATTTGGTTTTTTTTAATTTAAATTTTTTAGTAAGGTTTTCTACTTTTTCCTCCAATCAGTCTTGCTAATCATTATATTGGTTACATTTTAAAGTTATATCTTCAATATCGCAATTTAATTACATTTGGTTATTTAAAAATCTAATTTTTGCGGAATGTTTTTTACTTTTTTCTCCAATCAGTCTTGTTAATCATTATATCGGTTAAACTTTAAAAATATGTCTTCAATATCGCAATTGAATTACATTCCGTTTTTTAAAAATGTTAATTTTTTGTAATGTTGTGTACTTTTTTCTGCAATCAGTCCCAATAAGCACAAGAAAAAATCCTTATTAATATTTCCACTTTCGCTTTTATGGAGTGGTATACTTACTTGTAAATATGCAAAGGCTGCACTTGACCAACCCAAACGCTGCAGTGGTAAAAATGCATGCACCAGCAAACGTGGACGGACACCCAAGTGATCCTGACCTTCACAGGAGAATATATTTATTAATATTTGTATTTTCTGCACCAGCCATACGTGGACGGACACACAGGGATCCTAGCATGCAAAACTTACTTGCAACGGCTGCACTTGTTGTAAAACGCTACTTTTTGAATACAAATTATGAATAACTCCGATACCCTGCAAATAGATATGTAAATTATTGTTGTAATTCAAATTATTTCCATTATTTTTGATTTTTTAGCCATACTTACTTGAATTTGCCCAATAAGAAAATGAATTCCCACGAAACAATCGATGAAAATATCGGCAGTGTTGCCTGTTGAACTTTTTATACGAAGACAATATTTCTCCTTGTATTTTAGTAGTAGTTTCTACAAATCAAAAAAGAAGGCAACACAGGTTAAGCCAGAATGCGGGAGCGAGACAACTGCCAGGTTATCCAACCTCATGATGCAATAATACAAGGTGGTGTCAGTTGTGACAGCTCGATTTGACACTGCCTTAGCTCAGTAGAATGAGAAGAAAAACGGGAAGAAATGAATCCCCATATGGGGGAAAAATATAAAATTTCACATTTTCTCCTAAACAAAATTTGCTTTTTTATAGTATATTCGATACGAAATGAAATAAAATACAATAAAATAACTTTTTAAGAAAACAAAGTGAGCAAAAATAAAAAACATTCAACTACATTAATGGGCAAAGAATAGTTAAAGAAGTAACACTGGTTCACGTAAGGCAGTCAATATGGCGGAATTAGAGCGAGAAGTTGCCAACTGATAACACCCATGAACCAAAAAGACAAGATCACGCGGGCAGGAGAGTAGCCCGTTAGAATCGCATTGAGGAAAAAAGTTGAACGATTTGGACATTAGCCGTTTGTTTACATTTCTTCGTTGTTTACAATTTGGTGGTGGCTTTTTACTGCAATTTTCTTCATTTTTGCTTGTGACAACGTGTGTACACATAAGATAAAGAATAATTTAACACAACGGCATGATTTATAGAAGAATTTGCATAATAAAAATGATTTTTCATGCGTTCAACAATTTCGCGGTTTTCTCCGTTCTCTTCGTTGTTTACTTCTTACAACAAAGATGGCGTCGAGATTTCGGCAGCTAGAAAATAACTTTTTTCGTTTTTTCCTTCCCGCGTGATCTTGCGTCTTTCGTTCATGGATAACACCTTGTATTATTGCATCATGATCCAACCTTGTATTATTGAATCATGGTTCATGGGTACAATACAATTTGTAGCCGACTTTGTATCAACCACCTGAAAGTGGATTGGTAGTATGTGGAACGTGACTCTCAAACACCCACACATATATAAGCCATTTTTGATTCGCCACTAGCAACTCCTTTAAATCCATAGCATTTTAACCCTTAACGTGCTAAGCAAATATACATACATACACTAGGCGACAAATGAAAGTGTACACCTTGCTCTAATATAACCCGCTGCGAAAATCTCTCATCATGACCAATGTCATCTACTAGTAACAGGTCTATTTTGCACTGGTAACATAAATTTTATAACCGGTAATTAAAGTGTTTGTCAATTTTTAAACCTTTTTCGCATTCTGTGCTCTCTTGTAACCGGTAAATTTGGTTACCATCTCATAAGCTGGTAACAAAATATTGCCCCGTGAAATATGTAATACAGGAATTTCCACAAATATTCATAGCTGAGTTGCTGAATATTTTCACTGCATTACCAACCTATCTAGAATCGCGGTGACAAGAAGTGGTAACATTTTTTGGTAATAAAATTTTCCGGTCACAAAATCTTCGGTAACGTGCAGAATAGACCTGTAAAGCACAAAATGAACACCTCCGACGACGCATTACGCTGTCAGTTACAAAATAACGTGCCGCCGAAGTTATTTCCAAGCGCCGAACTACTCCGAGCGACTGCTCTACATTCTACGTAACTTACTTTGTAAAGCAGCTCAGAAGTATGTCTGATACCTAATTTACATTCTAAATTCCTACTTACATAAGGGCGCCACGCATTTTTTTAAACCACGACAGATTCGTCAGTGAAGTGGTAAGGACCGCCGGGTGAAGTGTAAGTTCCTGGTAAGGTATTGCACTTTACCCGGCGGCCCTTACCACTTCCCTGACGAATCTCTCTTACTTTAAAAGGCCTTATATTTTAAGCATTAATTTAAATCCTCGTACTCTTGATTTGAAGGACTTGCTTTAAACTTTTGAGACGATTTTCGCAGGCGGCACGGTCGAGTTCGTTTGATATATCGTCCCACATTTCTATTAAATCCTTTTTGAAACTATCCAAGGTCACATTATTTATGTTATCTATTAATACAGCCTATAAATACAGTTAGGGGATTCTCTTAAACTCGTTAAGTCTCAAACTGTGTAAAACTTGGCAAGTTCGCGAGGCCTTTGTGGAAACACCCCCTTTAAGAAAATGTGTAAATAGGTGCATATAGTGGCTGTGAAACAATTTTTGTTTCGTAGTGTTCCCCATAACAGCCCGCCATCTTGTCTCTATCACTATTGGCTAAAATACAATTAAAAATTCCGAAAACTAGCAGAAAACCCAAGTTAGTACAGCTAGTGGTTGAAATTCATTCTTTCTATTCACATTTTTTTTTTTTTCATTTGTTTTCAATATTTATACATGTAATAAATTTTAGTGTTAAATTTTCCGCCCCTCGGCAATACTGAAGTTTTCGATCAAATTTGCACCGTAATTTTACGAGGGGTCGTAAATAGTGCTCCATAAAAGTTTTGATAGTTCTTTTCCGAGGCTCGTAAATTTACGAGGTTTGCGAGGCTTTTACGAGTTTAAGGGAAGACCCGTAGTGTTAAGATAATATTCGAACTTGGCCCTTTTATCGAAAAATAGAATTTGATGCTTGATATTTTGCGCATCCCGCCCATTAATACTTTTCTTAGGGTAAGCACATGGTGAAACGGCGAGCAAAACATCGAGCAATTTAGGCATTTTTTATTCTACCATCACAAGCTAATAGCTAAATCATGGTCAAATAAAACGAAACTGACTTATTTCCTATGTTGGCCTAATTTTGACAGTTTGACTGCAAATAAAAAAAATTTTAAAAATTCAAAAGCAAATATTTTTGTTTCGATTTTTTTTTTTGTGTGAATGTTTGCTTCATGGTATTAGCGCACAGGGTTTACTTACGAGACATAAAAATATCGCATTAAGCAAATAGATTAAATTTCTGGTCAAATAAAACACGCCTATTATAGAACGAACTATATTTTTTATAAATAAATGCAAAAAATTGTTCATGAAAATAGTTGTGAATACTATATTAGATCAAGGTGTACACTTTCATTTGTCGTCTAGGGATGTTACGAATGTAATATATTTCACACTGGCAATTTTTCGAAATATTATATTACCTATATTTCCGAAAAAGTAGTTTTGCTGCTTTTTGTCCATGAAAAATTGCTCACGCTGTCGGTGGAGCTCTAAAGTATTTTCAAGCAGTTTTCCACAAATCGCGAGTTGCTCGCTTTTCATTGATTTCAAAATTTTAATGTCTCCAAATTCTACACCTATAAGTCCTTTAACAGAAATCGTTGAAAGCTCACAATTATTTTATCGCCTGAAGCTAAACGCTAATTATTGTCACCATCCTGGTTAGGCAACAGTATCATGTATATATTCACATCATTTGATGCGTATGCGAATGTTAAAAATTATGCGTATCATTCGCATAAACGAATTCGTATTCAAATATTCGTAACATCCCTAATACATACTATATATAGGTACGCGGTAGTGCTCTTCATTGTTCGCTTTGTTGTTGCTCCCTCGGAAATTTATCGTTAAGCGAGCGGAGAAATGTACATTTGTACGTACTTAAGTGGCGATGGTATAGATTAGAAAAAACACCAATCTGTATTTACGGATACGCTTATGGTACAGTATGTACCGAATATATAATTTTATTAGAATTATTATAAGTTCTTTCTGTAAGTTGGTTTCCAATTGTAATATACATACAAATCATAGATAAAGATATATACACATACAAACAAACTAGGTAGTATTTTTAGATTGACAGCCGCTATCTTTTGGCTTCTAGTTGCAAAGCTCATCTAGTAACTATGTATAATTTAGCACATGCTTATAGCGGCCTTCTTCTCCAATTGGTGGTTTGCACCTCGATTTTCTGTGAATTCACGACTCTACAGTATTATGCAGAAAGGCAGTCAGTCAGAGGTTTGACAAATCAGCGACCGCTATTAAGGAAATTCTTCTCTCATTCAGATGTTTTATGTCCGTATTGGGCAACATGCCGGTACGTCATGGGTAACCACAATCAGCTATGGCGGATACTCACCTAGCCATTACTAATTATTGGAAAAAAGTACATCAGACGCATGCTGTCGTCATTAATGCAAAAGACCCTAATTTGCAATTCGAAATTTTGGAGAAGCAAAATACTTATTCAATTAACGTTGGAAACGCTTCCACAGCTGGTAATAAATCTCGTATTTTTTTAAGATAACTATTTGAGTTTTTGGGCAGAAGTGTATCTCAAAGCATACTGACTGAATATTAAAAAACGCACATAAAGTCTTTTGCATAGATGACCACGATATGAAAGTTGAATATCTACGTAGTTAGCTGGCATTTGTCTTTAGCTACATTTGTTATATCTGCACCAATTGAAGGTTTCAACAATACTTTCCTCACTTTCAATTAGTAATAGATTTCGAATTAATATGGATAATTCAAAAGGTTCGACTTATACTTGAATAGAGATAGAACATATGTACATACATACTTAAATACATACCAGGGCCAATCGTAATTTTTATGATTTACATTATCCATTCGTGGAAAAAATTTTATAGCAATAAGCCAGGCATTTCAATTCCCAACCACAAATATTTTTCAAAGATGGGGGCTACAAAAAAAAAACTCAGTTATCTTCAAATAACTGTTTTACTTCAAATACATACCCAAATTCCCTGGAAAGTGGATACTATGTTGAATTTGGTTTAAATGCAATTGGGTAGCCGCTGACAATGCTAATGATGTTAAAATCACTTTACATTATGAATTTTTGTGTATTTGAGGTTACTACATACCATTAAAAATATGTGCCAAAGCAAATCTTTTTTAATTACAATCTTTTGTGAAGGATATGTTTTGAAATCTTAAAACCATGCGCTTTCGTAACACCTTGTTCTGAAATAGTCCATTCAGCTTACAAATCTGGTCAGTCACTAGTTTACCTAAATAAGTTTACTATTTTCGTACTAATATTTTATTTAATAAGCATAAATAAGTGTTTACATACCAAAACCTGAACAATGGTGGTAGGTATATGAAATGTTTCTATAATCGAGAAAGAGATTTTATTCAAGAAATCGCAAAAAGAAAACATTGAATTGAATTTATGATTAGTTACATAATAAAATACGGAAAAATTTGTAATTAATTACATACGTGCTACGGGAATCGTCATGTACACACTAAAATCATATGTATGTATGTAGTTGGGGTCGAATAAAGTGTTATTGAATGCAACGGAGAAAATTCCATTTTTTCAACTTCTTCACTTTTAACGACGATGCCGCTCACGTGACTGAGACCTTCGGCGAGAACTGTACTTCTGTGCACGGGAGCGAGATCTTGATCGTTTTCTTTCTTCTCTGATAGGCGAAACTGCGCTTCCACGATCTCCTCGATCTCCTCGATCCCCTCGATCTCCACGATCCCCTCGATCTCCACGATCACGTCGGTCACGATCTTTTTCCCTTTCTTTATCCTTTTCAGATCGTCGCTCAGATCTACCATCAGAACTACTTGCACCTCCACGTTCATTGCGACGGGTGCGATCTCTAGATCTGGACCGGTGTACGCGTGAACGCCGATCTAGCTCTCGACCACCAACAAAAAATCGAGACCTCTGTCTGTCGTCATTGCGTTCATCTATTTTTCCACTGCGCTTAAGATCTGCTTTACGTGGACCTGCCGTTTTTTCTAGCTCCGCCAATTTCTCACGTATAGTAAGGAAACCCAGGTGCAATTTACCACCGAAGTGGTCAGCCAGTCGTATGTCGTTATCATGGATACCTAAATATGCAGAACATACCTCACATACACGCAACTTCTGTTGTTGATAGGTCGAAGCCGGCATTGATGTGCGATATTCGTGCTCTGCTTTAATTTTCTTTGACCGCAATTCATCTATTTCCTTCATTAAAGACATACTTTCTTCAACTTCTCCTGCTTCACCAAGTGCTTCGGCCTTAGCTAATTTTTTGCCGATTTCTTCTGCCAATGCATGTACTGCATTTGCTTTTTCAGCCACCTCGGCTGTTAGTTCCTCCTGTGTTTCCTTTAGACGCTGCTTTGCAGACTCTGTACGACGGTCACAATCAGCAATGAAAGCCTGCAAATGTTCCATAGCTTCTATATCATAATAAAAGTCATGAGACTTCGCAGCGCTCTGATAATCAGCTCTGAATGCCAGATCGTGAACTTTTGGGCACTCTCCTAGATCCATGCGAGTTGAAGCGAGTACATCATGAGGACAACAGTCAAGTAGAAAACTTTTACACACACGAGCATCAGAAAATTTAACTCCGCGTTCATCATCTCCATTGCGAGTTGTGCCCATTAATTGATCGAGCATTGCCCTCATTTGGTCCGTGGCCGACATTTTTAATTTTTTTAACTATTAAAATTATATTTTCAACGCCAAATAGTATTATTTTCGTAGGTTTTTAATAACCTTACCTAGGGAAGAAACTTATACAATTGTGTCTAAATGTTCGATACAACGAAATTCTGAGCATTTCGATAACTTGCATGCATATGTATTAAGAGCGGAATAGACGACTCAATAAACTACATGAACCAATTAGAACAGATCTAACCGGTTGAGAAGCAGCCATTTGTAATAACAATTGAGAAAAAAGTGTGTGACGTTCGCAATTTTGAAGTTTGCTATTTCTGTTTTGCTTTCTTTATGTGTATTTTGTCGGTGGTTTATTTCAGTGATTTTTAAGTGACTTTTTGTGCAAATGTAATTAAAATGGAGTGCGCGGTGATTGGATGCAAAAACAAGTACAAAAATAATAAATTGGTTATCACAAACATGTGCACAACAATGCTTGCATTTTTTCTTTATGCTTCGTCTTCATATTCTTTGTTTACTTTTCACAGAAAATAACATGGCGCCGAAATTACAAACGTCAGCCAGAAAATTACTTTTTTCTTTTGCTTCATCTTGTCAGATCTTGTGTAGTTGGATCATGATAAACTATACAAACTTTACTGTGGGCAGTTCGGTTGTATTCATAATTCAATAATACAAGGTTAGATAATTATTGACAGCTGCGGTTTGACACTCCCGAGGTTCAAAAAGTGTGAGTGTATTGCAACTGGAAAGTAGTTTATTGACAGGCCAAGTTACTGGAAATCCTTCCTCAATTTAAGCATTAACCAAAAATACAAGATCACGTAAGAACGCGACGTTGTATTTGTAACTGGTTTTGAGAAAAAAGTTTGCGAAAGCGGGTTCGTCAGCTGAGCGTTTGTTTACATCACAAGCACCACTATTTTACACTTTTATTTAAGTAAAGATGAGTTAATTCAACATGACAACACATTTTCAAGCATTTTATTGCATCAATTTACCTAAATTGTGCGCTTAATGTGGCTGACAATAATTTTGGCTAATTTTGGTTTTCTTTGCTTTTTTTACTTTTCGCTCGTTTTCCAGTGAAACAAGATGGCGTAGAACCCGCTAAAAAAATCGACTTTTTTCACTCTCTTATTCTTACGTGATCTTGTGTCTTTCGTTCATGCAATTTAATGCAGCGTTTTTGCTGTATATAAAATGCAACATTTAGCACTTTCGAACATATGTTTTCGAAGAGCGTACATGCTACCGCATTTAGCAAATGTACATTTATGCGAGTTCGAAATCGTATGCTTTTGACAAACAGCCATGTTCCAGTCGCTTATTCAGATCCGTATCTATGACGATAAATTCTCACGCAGAAGATAATGTGCAAAAACCCTACTGAAAAGGAAAAATAAATTTTAAACCGAAACTTCAATACAAAAAATTGAATTGTTTTAACCATGACCGACCATTTGTTTATGTATATATTAATTTGTCGGTGCTGTCAATTAAAATTTCCTCACTTAATTAGGAAACAAAACAAACAGAATTGATCACAAATTGATCCAGATTTCTATCAGCATCACATCGATATTGAATTTTCTTAACTTTTCTTTATCCAAATAATGTAAAATAATAAATGAAATCTCGATCGGCAATCACTGAAACGCAGCTAGCCACTGTATACTCGAAAATGCAATGTTGCGCTTTATCTCATTAAACCATGTTCGAATCGTGGAAATTTTGGAAGATCACAGGGTTGCTTTTANTGGAAATTATTAAAAAGTGGATAATTGCATTAAAATTTAATAAATATGAGCGTTTTAACTATAAAATATGACGAAATTGTATTAAGTCTCTGTGTGCATACACAAAACACATTCCAGGAAAAGAAAAGAAGAGATATTACTGGAAAATTACGTCTAGAAATGTTGCAGCACAGTCTATATTTAAAAAATTGCAGGTTTTTGTAAATATTTCGCGAAAATATCAACCAAAAAAAACAGAAAATACCTGCTCCAAGTGAATTTTTAGACGCCAAATGAATTGAAATATCACGACCAAGTGTGCAGAAGTGTAATCGTCATGTAATCGTTGCTTCATGACGATAACTATGACTCAACTATGATTGGACGACCAATGAGCAGAAAGCCTTAGAGTAGCATTTAGAGCTAAATGTGCTTTTACGCGTAACAGTAGCTACACACGACGTGCATATCCGCGCACATGCGCGGCTTGCGGGTCATGCTCGTCGTTTGTAGGGCGGTTTGCGCGCATGCTCGCCAAAAATCAAAAAATTTTGATTTTCAGCGAGCATGCTCGTCGTTTGTACCTCATCTCACAACCTGTACAACCTCATTTTGTGTTGATGCTTGCAGTGTGCACATCGCGGATAAATGCATCCAAGCCATGCGCGTTAATTGAATTTTTGATAAATGAGGCTAAATTCCTATATGTATATGTATTTACATACATATAAGTAAAATATAAATAAATTTAAGTAACACATACATAAAAAACCCTAAGTCATAAGTATTTCAATTACATCATCCGCGTCTTTCCTTTCCATGTTTACGCTTTGAGTACAAAATCACTTATGAGCCGCTCGCCGTTTGTAGCAAACGACAGCCAGCATGTTGGCGCACATGTACGCGGATATGCTCGTCGTGCACGATTGAGAGAATACAAAGGTTGCGCCGATCTCGGACCGCTATTCCTCTCTTAACGAATTTGACAGAATCGTTGTTTGCATGACGTCACACTGGTGCAACTTGTTTACATTTTCCTTGCAAAATTTTTTCTTCTTCTTCCATTCTTGCTCACGTTTTGGCATTTCTCTCTCGCAATTGCACCAGTGTGACGTCACACAAAAGTTATTCTCAAAAATCCTCTTTGATCGGCGCAATCTTGTATTCTATCATTCTTGCTCGTCGTGTGTAGCTACTATAAGCAAAAACAGCCCATAAGTACATATCAGCAAGTGGCTACACTAAGGGCCCTGTCACACGGTCAGTAATTATCACGATATTTGTATCGCGATCCATATTGATGGATTGATGGATCGAGCACGAATGCTACATGCTCAATATTTATCGCGTCAGTATTTGTATAATTTTTGTGCTGAACGCTTATTATGATGCAGGAAAGTATTTTTATTTTGTATGAATAATTTGCAGATACTGCATTCCACAATTATTTTAAAATTTCCCGTGTTAATTAAAATTTTTTCAATTTGTTTTGAAAGGTTTTAAGCAGCGAGAACGAAAGCATAGCGAATACGTTTTCGATGTTCGCATTATGAGAGTCCAAGATGTATTGACGAAATGTATGAATCGCGTTTTGTAAGTGCTACAGGGTCAATATATATTGACAATATTGCGATCCGCGATCCAGATTTCAAAATGTTTAGAAATTTTGCGATATGGATCCGCCAATACCGTATGCTACACCGTCAATAAATATCGCTATACTTGGATCACGTTAATAAATACTGACCGTGTGACAGTGCCCTAAAAATGCATATTTGACAGGTTGTTCAAGAAGTGAAGTTTACTTATGTGTTGTTGTGTTCGTACGCCGCGATGTTTGTCAGATGATAATTTGCACAACCAAAGTAATAAATATGCAATGTTTAATTAACTGCAGGCGTAATTTTTTGCAACGTGTTTGTGTAGAATCTTAAAAAATCCAGGCGAGCTAATTTCTACCATTCCGTTAAGAGATTTCTCGTATAAAAAGTTGTTTGTTGGCATCAATGAACATGAAGTGTCTGCGGGCATTATCGATAAAATACAACAGTATCCAATTAATCGTAGAAAATTTTGTAAACATACTAAAATCATATTTTAATTAAATGCAGGCTTATAAAGCTCGGTTTTAATTAAATTACTAATGTTTGTGGTTCATTTGTTAGTTAATGTGAGTGCGTCAGTTGTGTGAAAAGTGTTTTACGAAGGACTTAAATAATCTATAAGTGATACTTATTGTTTGCATTGCATTGTCAAGAATACCTTAATTATAGATTAAATATGGCTGAGGCGGCAGCGAATGATCAAATTCATGGTTATCATGATGTAAGTACGAGTCATATATTTGAATATAGCAAGAAATTATATATTTTACTATTTCGTTGAAGGTTTAGCATAGTATTTATTTTGTAATGCAAGACTTCGATTCTTGTGGAAAACTGCGATTCATTCACAATGGTACATAAAGAATTACTTATAAGATCCACTCCCTTTTCTTCCGAACCACTTAAAAAAGAAGGAATTTGCAACAAGTGTACAAATGAGCATACTGGTAATGTTCTGGTGTATAAACAACAGCTTCTTCAGATACATATCGTTACCTATAAATAGAAAGGCCCTAACTAATTTTCTTTTGAAAGTCAGCTCTGTACAAAAGTCAACACTTTATTCGCTCAAAAGGCTTAATAGAACTTAAAATCGACCACTTCTTTGTTTATTCAAAATCCAGTTTCATCAAACCTATTTAAGGCAGTATATGTCATTGGCCTACCAATGGTCACTCTATTCAGAGGTAGGTATATAGGAATAACTTTCGGTGCAACCTAGATTCGATCCCTAGTCTGAACAACATCCAAAATTAGTTTCTTTAAGCGGTTGGCCCCCTGCAGACAATTGCCCGTTCGGAGTAGAACTACCCGGCCCTCAATTTGTAGAACAAGAAGCTCTACCAAACACCCTCGGCCAAATGAGTACGCCATAGACACGAATCCTTTTAAAGCCGCTCTGACAATGTAAAATTAAAAACATATATACATATATATATTATTTTTCTCATTAAGTAGTTGGCTTTACTTGTAGGTACAGCCCGCAACAAAAGAAAGCACATCATCATTTTTACCAGGGCTGGAATCGTAACATATCGAAAACGATACGAAGGAAAATTACGTGATACATGCGTCGGTCGATATAAGCTAAATGGGACAAAGGGTACGATCACGTATGTCGTAATCCGAAAAATATATTTTTACGTGACGAGTAGTACGATATCGGATGTGACGATTCGAGCCCAGGTTTGTCTAATTTTCTTTTGACTTTTTTAAGGTTCATTAATTTTTTATTAAAGTTCAGCTCCTTATCTAACAAAAACCGTACATGTAAGTGTAAATTTAAAATTTGTACAAAAATTTTAAAAATTGCAGAAAGATTGCATCCCAATTCCATGTATGTATTTTAATTAGAATTTCTATATTAATTCTTGGTATGAAGTATTAAAATCTAGTGTAATAGAGTGCCAGTTTGAAGTTGTTAAAAAATCGCATTGATATTTGATAATTTTTTTTCTAACGACGTTAGGCACGTTTTTCGATATAAAAAGTTACTTTGTATGGAAGAAAATGGGTAATACCGTCAGCAAAAAAATTATCAATAATCAACACGGTTTTTAGCAACTACAAACTTGCACATTATTGTACTAGAAAATAAAAAGGTATAAATCTGCATACCAAAAATTATCCTTTTTATTTTCTAGTACAATAATGTGCATCCCAATTCCATGTATGTATTTTAATTAGAATTTCTATATTAATTCTTGGTATGAAGTATTAAAATCTAGTGTAATAGAGTGCCAGTTTGAAGTTGTTAAAAAATCGCATTGATATTTGATAATTTTTTTTCTAACGACGTTAGGCACGTTTTTCGATATAAAAAGTTACTTTGTATGGAAGAAAATGGGTAATACCGTCAGCAAAAAAATTATCAATAATCAACACGGTTTTTAGCAACTACAAACTTGCACATTATTGTACTAGAAAATAAAAAGGTATAAATCTGCATACCAAAAATTATCCTAGAAATTAAAATTAAAATGCTTGGAATTGGGATGAAAAGTTTGAGGAATTTTTATGCTTTTTGTACCTACATAGTCTGAAATTTGGATTTATATGGCATTTGTTAGATGAAGAGCTATACTAATGAACATTAAACAAACAAAAGAAAAATAGTCAAAACTGTTCAGAATGTTGAGGTGCTATCGTTTTGTCGCGGGTTGTACATTTTGTCTATAACCTGGGGATTAGAGCAATCTTTTGAAAACAGACCTAAAATACATATATTTCCAGCGAAGAGGCTTGAAATAATATGCTAATTAGAAGTATAAACATATAATTTGATTACTCAACGATTTTTAATGCATTTGCAATAACAACAAACAGTATATCTATTATAAACCATGGCTAAATTGTTTAATTTTATTGCTTATTGTGAAATTCTAATCTTATTTTTATTTATCTACATTTTTATGTATATTTCAGAATGACTCGAGTGATACATGCCATTTACGTATTATAATTATTAATGGAAAATCTTTAGCGAAAAAGGACATTTTTGGAGCAAGGTAAGAATTTATTACTAAAGAAAACAATTTTAAGCCTGTAGTTGTAAGTGAAAGCAACTTTCTATATAAAACCAAACCTTAGTTTAGCAATGGGGAGATTCTGTACCGAGTTAGCGCAACTCGAAAATAGAAATAGGAGTAATTTTATAGAGAATAGAAAATAAGAGTAATTTTATATTTCAGAGAAATTTTGTTTTTGTTAACGTAAAAAATATATGTATGTATATGTATGTGCTATGACCGCGACCATCGTAATTCAAAGTCTCAAACTTCGTACAAAATTCAGAAGAAATATCAGCAAATTTTCTTCGAATTTTTATTATTTAATCGGATTTTTTTTTTAATCTTAGGTACAGATAACATGATTTTAGTGTAACAAAGTGCAAGTTTTGACTTTTAATCATCTTTTTTATGGTCTTGTGCATTTGCTCCCATAAAAAGGGAATGCGAGGAACATATATAATTTAAAATAGTTTAATAACAAAAACTCTAGGCGTACCTGGCTAAAAACTAAACTAGGCTTTCAATGTCTAATTATGTATTTTCAACATTTTTCAATAGCGAATATCAATTACCAAGTACATACTCATTTGCCATTTGTTAAAATATAACTCTCTATTTTCTTATAGTGATCCATATGTAAGGATTGATTTAAATACAATTAATGGTGATATAAATATAGATTCAGTTTTGACCAAGACCAAAAAGAAGGTAAACTATTAAATACATATATTTATTTTTTCAATCATTTTATTCTTGTTTTCAACAACCTTTAATCTTTACGCTCGACAAAATTGCTAAATTTGATTTGTTAATAAATCTATTAAAAATATAGCAAAAACAAATAAATTACTTTTATTTATTTTATCTCGATTATCTTAAAAATTCGTATAGACTCTCAACCCAACTTGGAATGAAGAATTCGTATTCAGGGTGAGTAAAAAACTTTCGCTAAATTCTGCTTTGTTTTCAAATAAATAAATAATTCTGAGCATTGATTAAGCAATTTGTTAATCTATTTTCTTATTTTTTTAAAGGTGAAACCTTCAGAGCACAAATTGGTGTTTCAAGTATTTGATGAAAATCGTTTAACACGTGATGACTTTCTTGGCATGGTTGAACTGACGCTAAATAATTTACCCACAGAGCAAGAAAATACTACTATAAGTCCACAAAGCTACTCACTAAGACCGAGAAGGTCAGTAGGGTATGTTAAATTGATTTCATTTACAAAATTATTTTGTATTATTTTATTTGTAACTAAAAATTTCACGTGTAAATACTTATTAAAAGTTATTTTACCTTAATTTTCTTTTAATTATATTTTTTGAATTGCCTTTTGAATAACCTTTCCCTTAAGTGAATAGTATCGAACTAATCTTTCAGCCGGGTTACGTGATTTTCTAAGTTATTTATTTGAAATTTATTCTAAACAAATTTAGTTAGTGCTGTTTCATTCATTTCGTCTTTTTTATAAATACTACAATAAAAAAAATTAATATTCAAGCAGCGCAAAGTCACGGATAAAAGGCACGCTAGAGATTTATCATGCATTTGTACATGAATCGGGGGAGGCAAACGAAGCTGACGCAGTTGATGGGGAATGGGAGCATTTGGAGAATACCTCAAGAATGAGTGGAACTCAAACGGTATATAAATAAAATAATTAATTTTAATTACGTAAATGCTAAACATTTTATATTTAGGGACAATTCCCTTCCAATGTCAGTCACGACCCTTTGCCATCTGGCTGGGAAGAACGGCAAGATGCAAATGGGAGAACTTATTATGTGAATCATACTGCACGTACGACGCAATGGGAACGGCCATTAGTGTAAGTGTTGATATATAAAACATCTCGGTCAAATATCGATTGTAGATTTTTATAAAACTTAGTTTTTTTGCTTATGTAGTATGCATGAATATACTTACAGTGCCGGACAAAAGTATTGGCACAGAGAATTTTTCGCAATGTATGCAAAGTTTTTAATTCTAATTTCTTTTCGCTAATTTTGTAAAAAAAAACATAGCTCATGCTAAAACAAAGAGCATAAAAATAAAACCTCTAAAATTTGTGCAAAACTCAGGAAAATTCCATAAATTTGCGTACTAATTTGCAACTTTCAACTCAGATTTTTGAAAAAAAAATTAATTACGCTGTTCTAGAATCCCTTTTAGAGATTTTATTTGTATGCTCTTTGTTGTAGGATGAGCTATATTTTTATAAAAAATTAGCGAAAGGAAATTAGAATAAAAAACTCTCTCTTCTCTGTATGGCACTGTATGTATATTCATACATACTGCATAAACAAAAAAACTAAGTGATAAGAAATTAGAATAAAAAATTTTGCATACCTACATTGCGAAAAATTCTCTGTGCCAATACTTTTGACCGGCACTGTATGGATAAGTATAGATTGCTCCCCTAACCATCAATAGATTATTTTGTATTTCTGATTCGAATTTGAGTTAAGTGTTCATTATACTAAATATTACATTAAAACCCCAGAAATTTAAGTAAAAAAGATAAAACACGCTCATAAGATTGGTGTGATTTTGATAAAATTATAAATATGTACATATATATGTTTTTATACAGATCAACGTGCACTAATTTTCTAAATTGTCTTTAAGAAATTTACCGTATTTTCTTCGGTCTTTATTAATATCTTGCTTACTTTATTATTAGCTCGGCAACTAGCAACAGTAATGTAAACGTTGAAGCAGCTGCATCTGATTTCCAAAGACGTTTTCATATTAGTGTTGATGAATCTGACTCCGGCAGACCTCCGGTGAGTTTACTTTTATTTTTTATCATATCTATTGGGTTGTCGATATTAAGTTTGCTGTCATTTATAATACCGTAGTAAAAGAGTAATACATAATATTATATATTTTATTAAGTATGTTTGATACTTACCAAGATTTACTTATTTTGAATGAAATTTGCCATAGACCCAATTTTAACAATCTGTACTCTCTGAGTTAGACAATTTTGCGTTGAAATATAATTTTTGTTCTTCAAATACATATATATTGACTATTTTCAAATCTTTTTTCCTTTACCACAAAATTAAACATTTTTTGTGTCAGGCTACCCCGAGATCAGATGAAGATGCTTTGCCGCCGAATTGGTCTATGCAGGTAGCACCGAACGGTAGAACATTTTTCATAGATCATGCTGCGCGACGCACGACATGGATTGATCCACGTAATGGACGCGCTAGCCCAATGCCTAATCAAACGCGTAGAGTCGAGGATGATTTGGGACCTCTGCCAGAGGGCTGGGAAGAACGTGTTCATACGGATGGACGCGTGTTTTATATTGATCATAGTAAGTTACTAATGAGTTAAAACAAACAGGAGTTTATTAATTTATTTGTCTTTTTTTTTCTTTTTAAGACACTCGCACCACACAGTGGGAAGATCCAAGATTATCAAATCCAAATATAGCTGGTCAGGCCGTACCATATTCCAGAGACTACAAACAAAAGTACGAGTATTTCAAGAGTCATATTAGAAAACCGGTAAGTTCTTACATGTGTGCATGTACATATGTATGTACATCATTATTTATTTGTGCTTCCTGCTATATAATATTGGGTAACACTTATCAACATTCTTTTTTTAGACAAATGTTCCAAATAAATTTGAGATTCGTATACGTCGTACCTCGATTTTAGAGGATTCCTATCGGATTATTAACTCTGTGACTAAAACTGATTTATTAAAAACTAAACTGTGGGTAGAATTCGAGGGTGAAACGGGATTAGGTAAAGAAAACGTTTCTTTTATTTCGCAAAAAAAATACAAAAATGTTTCATTTTGAAGATTACGGTGGTCTGGCAAGGGAATGGTTCTACTTGCTGTCAAAGGAAATGTTTAATCCATACTATGGACTGTTTGAATATTCGGCAATGGATAATTACACATTACAAATTAATAACGGCAGTGGTTTATGCAATGAGGAGCATTTGAGTTATTTCAAGTTGGTATACATTTTTAGTCAGTTTGTTTAAGAACGTTGAAAATATGGAAATCAAACCATTTAAGTGATACTAATAAGATTTTGGTTTTGATTTTGTTAGAAATTTCTGTAATAAAATTGGTTAACGTAAAAAACGCTTTCAAAATAAATAGCTTAATTGTTCATCCTCCGACTGTTTGTTAACAAATCTGTTATGATCAATTTTTCCATAGATTCATTGGTCGCATTGCTGGTATGGCTGTTTATCATGGCAAACTATTAGATGCATTTTTCATTCGTCCATTTTATAAGATGATGCTTCAAAAGCCAATTGATTTAAAGGATATGGAATCAGTTGATACCGAGTATTATAATTCACTGATGTGGATAAAAGAGAATGATCCCCGGCAATTGGAATTGACTTTTTCATTGGATGAAGACACGTTTGGCCAAAAGAGTCAACACGAACTAAAGCCAGGAGGCTCCAATATTGAAGTTACTGACGAAAATAAAGATGAATATATTAAGTGTGTACAACAATATGTTACTATGCTTGGTCATAAATACTCAATTGTACAATTTCAGGCTTGTTATTGAATGGCGTTTTGTTGCACGAGTCAAGGAACAGATGTCATCGTTTTTGGATGGATTTGGCTCAATAATTCCATTAAATTTAATTAAGATATTTGACGAACACGAGTTGGAATTGTTAATGTGTGGCATACAGAATATTGACGTGAAGGATTGGCGAGAAAATACTTTATACAAGGGAGACTATCATCAAAATCATATAATAATTCAATGGTTTTGGCGTGCAGTGCTCTCATTTTCGAACGAGATGCGTTCACGTTTATTACAGTTTGTTACTGGCACATCACGCGTTCCAATGAATGGCTTCAAAGAGTTGTACGGCTCAAATGGTCCGCAAATGTTTACCATAGAAAAATGGGGTACTCCTAACAATTATCCTAGAGCACATACATGGTTCGTGAATACCTAGTTTTTTTTTTACTAAATTTTAAGTAATTTCTGTCTGTTTCAGTTTCAATCGTTTGGATCTACCACCATACGAAGGTTATGTCCAGTTGAAAGATAAACTAGTTAAAGCTATTGAGGGCAGTCAAGGTTTTGCTGGCGTCGATTAATATCTCTAGCAGTGGTAAAATTCCCTATATCAACGAAAAATTCCGCCGTATAAGATAAATTGCGGATTCGAGGCCTTTTACGCTGACTTGTGTACTTATTTTTCTGTTTATTACTATATATTAATAATTTTACGAACTTCCTGTTATAAAAAAAAAAATATAAATACCAAATTACTTCATACTATTTTTGTTTATAATTCTACACTACCAATTTGGTAACTACGTTGCAAAGAAACTTTAATTAATAAAGACTTTCTAAACCCAGTATGAAAATGTAATGTATGGTAATCGAAAAAAATAATCAGTAAAACAGCCGTCTTCGCATTCGAAAATCAATTTTTTCTCCTACGTCTATGCCCTAAGAAAAGTGGGGCCTTCAATTTTGCATTACCAGTAATGCAGGAAAGAATGCGATTTAATATGAATACTGATTACATATTAAAGATTAATCGAATCTAGAACTCATAAGAAATACATTACATTATTTATCACGCATGTAATGCATACAGGCATGTTCTGCAATTCACTTACGAGTGAATTCTAACACAACTCACTTTGAAATAAAATTGAATGGGGTTGAAATTCACTCGGAAGTGTATGGCAGAACCTGCCTTCGATGGCTGAGTGGAAGATCGACATATCTCGGCAGCCAGTTCAAAAACGCGATATCTCAGAAAACTTTTCAAGAACGCCCTACATCAGAATTTGATTGAAAAACGCCCTATTTCAGAATTTTATTGAAAAACACCCTATCTCAGAATTTGGTAGAATAAAGCCCTATCTCAGAATTCGGTTCAAAAATGCCCTATCTCAAACGAAAATACTTTGAAAATAAGCTGAGATAGGGCGTTTTTGAATCGTAAGCTGAGATAGGGCATTCTTCAACTAAATTCAGAGATAGGGCGTTTTTCAATCAAATTTTGAAGTAGGGCGTTCTTGAAAAGTTTTCTGAGATAGAGCGTTGTTCAAAAATTTTCTGAGATAGGGCGTTTTCGAAATGGCTACTGAGATAGGTCGATCTTCCACTCAGCCATCGATTCAATAAATACTTACTGTTAAGCGGCTCTATTCTCTAATCCTTGCCTAATCTTCCCATCCCTTACTAAAGTAAGCAGTAAGGATTGCTTAGGTAAGTACTAAAGATAAGACATTTATTCCACAAGGATTAGAGACATGAGCCACTTAACAGTAGTAACAGTTTTTATTTTTTTAATTTTAATTGTGTCGTTATTGCACAACACCATCGATATGTTTATCCGATAAGTACCTGTAAATTCAAAGAATGGGAATTCTAACCATTTGAAAAGCCAAATCTCATCCGAAATTTTTTAAATATTGACACAACTCCTTGCTTTAAACCGGAAAAACCACCAAACATTTTCCGGTTACTTTGGATCCTTTGGGAAGAAGAAAACGCCCATCAGTTTTCAATGCGGCTATTTACGCAATTCCCCATCGCTCTTTCTTATCTATGTGCAGTGGTGAGTGATTTTCTTACAAAATTCATGTGTATTTATTTGATTAAAAAATTTGTTTTTGTTTTGTCACTTGGGATACGCTTTGATAACACTTGTTTATAAACAATGAACGTTCACTTGTCAAATACAACGGACTTGCGCAATGCAAAACCCTGATTGAAGACTTGTTCCACTCCGTTTTGTTTACATTAAGTTAAATTTGAGATTCTATTTTTGAATTAATGTTAAAAGCAAAACAAATCATTAATAAAATTCTAGATTTAGTTTTCCGGAATAGCCCAACAATGAGCAATTCCTGTGCACTTGTGTATTTCGCTTAAAAACCGATAACTTTGAGTACTTATCGGTAGTTTTGACCGGTATGAATATAGGATGGATTTACAAAACTACCCCGCTCGACGTAAAATCGTTCGTTCCCACAACTGTCGGTCTACGTAATCTGAACGACCCAGATTTATATCTGGCCAAGGACTGACACTCCAGCAACAGCCCAAAACCTCGAGGAATTTGTATGCTGTTTTAAGAGAAAACAACAACGTAAAGTCAGTGGCATAGCGGAGCAAAGAGCATTGAGCAAGCATGACAAACGCTTGTTTCGCTTTGCGTGACAGATTCGCTTTAACAGATGAGATGGATTATATGAAAGTGCACAAAGCATGCCACATAGATGTTGTTGTTGTTGTAGCAGCGTACAAGTTCCCCATAGAGTTTTGGGGAGTGTTGCTGGAGTGACAGTCCTTGGCCAGATATAAATCTGGGTCGTTCCGGTTACGTAGACCCGACTGCCGTGGGAACGTTACAGCTGCAGGAGGAGGCGAAAAGAGGGCCAACTCCCATCTTTTTGCACGCGTTGACAATCAGCCGGTTTGATATTTGTTTTGTTTCGTCCAAATTCAAGTTTTCACGGAAAAACATAAAATTAAATTACATTGCTAATATTTTTAAAGCTAAATATATATAAATCCATAGAATCAAAAAACTTTTACACACACTTGTAGACAACAATTCACGCTTTATTACAAAAATAAAATTTACTATATCTGTGCACAAATTTATTTATAATGTCGGTTCGAAATATGGTATTTTTCGCAAATTTCCGAGCTGAGTTGTCAAACAAAAAATATCCACGAAATAACCCTGCCAAAGGTGTTCAGCTCCTCTTCTTCAGCAACCAGAAAGGCGAATTCTAGTTAGTGAGCGTTATAATTCTTTCGCAAAAAATCCAAATTTCCCCTATTTTCAAACAGCTTCCTACGGATCTTAAAGCGGCGTCCATCCTCTATCGTTTAAATTTAAATCACAGCCGTGCACAGAAAATTGGCCCTTAGTGGTTGTTATTGTTGTTGTTGTAGCAGCATACAAGTTCCCCATTCGGTTTTTGGGGAATGTCGCTGGAGTGACAGTCCTTGGCCAGATATAAATCTGGGTCGTTCCGGTTACGTAGACCCGACCGTCGTGGGAACTTAGTCATTTAGTGGTCAAAGCATTCGCTGCCAAGCGTTTATTGTACCAATCATATTTTTAACGTGCGTTCTGTCAAACCAATGCCAAAGGCAACGCGGAACTTCTATGTGGACCGTTCTTTTATGATGATACGTTGGAAGTAAGTTTTATGCTCATACCCTAAGGTTTTAGATACCAGACTTTTTTGTTTACCCTTGACACAACATGCTCCGATAACAACTATGTAAATCGATACGAAAAATTTATTTTTAATTTAGCAATGTATTTTTTCTTAGTTTATCATTTAATTTCTTTAGAATTTTAACTTAAATCTTAAGTTAAGAAGTAATTATTGTGTGGCATTAGGTTATATTGTCGAACGGTGTGTCAAAACCCTCTAGAGAAATAAATCGGTACGTGAATCGACTATGATATTTAATCACATCTCTAATATTCGTCGCATAGTGGTTGGCAAATTTGCAGGCGCGTACTTAAATAGAAGAAAATCCTTTTACTTATGAGATTACAGACCGCCCGAGAAAAATCAAAATTTTGGCCATATACGATTTACGCTTGTAAATATAAGTGAAAAGATTTGTGCTTAATTCACGCTCATTAAAACAAAACAAGCTGATTTACAACTCATACACGTTGGAGACATGGGAGATGATTTCCTAGGGAAAGCCGTTTCAATAGAATGCGATGCTAAGCTCGGTGTGTTTCAAGGGGTGATTAAGGACATATCTGAATCGGAGATAACTATTATTCGTGCATTTCGCAACGGTGTTCCTTTGAAGAAGCAAGATGCGGAAGTGACTTTACGGTATGTTCCATATCTACGCTGGTTAAGATAACCCACATTGAATAAAGCTTTTATATTCCAGAGCAACAGATATTGTGAATATTTATTTGATACCGTCTTTTAATGGCCAAAATACTGTCACGCCAGTAGATTTAAAAAAACCGACAACGGTAAAATTGCCGGGCTTCGCAAATGCTGGAAAAATTGTTTTGGCATTATCTCACAATAAAGATGCATTAGAAAGAGATCACTCCTCCTCGTTACCTAATTCCATTTACCCAAAACCCAAAGACAACATAAGTGAACTCACAGATAAAATAGCCAAAGTAAAAGTAGATTCCAGCAAGTATAAAAGGTAAATAAAGAAAGAACATTTTCAACTTGTAATATCAAGTCCATATTCATAGTGTTCAAAATTTGGAGAGTAGAGTAGTTGAAAGTGGGAAAGTGCCTTGCAATAATACTGTTAGGGAATTCTTTGGAAACTTGCTTCCGCCCAAAGTAGAAGCCCGACTGGGAGCGGCTCAATTTCCATCATCTCCCAATTCAGTGCATGTCTATGACGCTGATAACTTTGATGTTGCAAATGCCTTATGTGAACAAGCCTCCGCTAGTTCAAGGCCCATTGATATAAAAGTTAAAAAGAATAACTATGGAATAACTGGCTTTCCCAATGGTCCGGATATTTCCGTTAGTGCAAACGGAAATGGAAATGCCAGACTACGTTATGGCAATAATGGCTCCAGTAACAATGGGAGCAATCGTAAACAACGAAAACAGCTACGTAAAGACGGTAACATGAAGCACAACCAAACTTTCAGCGCCTCAGTAGATGATCCAATATTACAAGAAGATTTTGATTTTGAAGGAAATTTAGCTCTTTTTAACAAGCAAGCAATTTGGGATATAATTGAAGCCGAACAAAAGCCGGATTTGGTGCGCCAAACTTCAGGTGCAATTAAAAAATATCGCCACGATGAGAATATATTGGTTAGTGAGCCCGTAAGACTGCGACAGATTGAAAATATTTTTGACGGCTCTACAGACTTTGTTACTGGTAAAAAATTTCAATATAAAAAGATTTAAAAACATACTGAACCAATAAAATTAATATGTTTTAGATGAAGGACTCATAATACCAACAATCCCATCGTTTGTACGAGCGAAAATTGAAAGTTTAGCAGAAAAGGGAGGTCTTTCTTTGCCAAGACAATTGGATATACTAACAAGGGGTGTTACTGATCTTGCCATATTATTACTAGGGGGCGCGAGAAGACTTACACCTACTAATTACCACCAATGGCCAATCATTGTTATTATATGTGCAAAATCAAGTAATTTAAGGTATATTACTTTATGTTTCATTCGAATTGTGATCTTAAATAATTTATATTTATACAGAACTAGTGATATTGGCGCTGCTACCGGTCGTCAAATGGCGTCGCATGGATTAAAAGTTTTACTTTATTTGGAAGATGAAACTGTGAATAATAAAAGCAAAGAGATTGCGCTTTTCAGCGCTACGGATAATGTTGTTGTATACTCAGTCGATGGTAAATACACTTACTTGCACACATATGTTCATTTTAAAATATTCAATATTTTAACTTTATTCTGGTTTTAGAACTGCCTTCTCCTGATCTCGTAATTTTATCAACAAATTCAAATACCGTAACGAATGAAGTCAGAAAATGGTTGAGTGAAAGTAGGTGAGTATTGCGTAGTTTATCAGTCTTCGTTTAGTTCAAAATACTTTTTTCATATTACATAACTTTCTTGAAAGTAATTCAATTTCTACTAATTACGGCTACGGACGAGACTGGGCCGAAGTACAGCATTCGTGAACGATTTAAACTCTATAGCGAATGTAGCACGAGTAATCGTGTATGCAGCGAGTTCGTCGCAGAATTTTTTTTGCATGATTTTTGGTTTCTAGTTTTTCATTCTTTGTAATGTAATGTTTTATATTAAATATTTATTAATTTGCGGTTCGAAGCTTCTTACTCGATAGTCAAGAACTGTTAGTACGGTGAAAATATATATTAGTAAAACTTTCGTGGTAAAGCAATTAAAAACGTTGGGGTGGTTTCTTTATTTCGGAATTTTTAATACATGTTGTTTTTTGTGATTACACTTGTGAATGCGTAAAGAATATTATCCTATTGAAATGAAACTGTCGCGGCGATAACCTTATTTATCATTTTGATACGAGTTCGAAAGCTTTCTTTTTTAGGTAAGATTCTCAGTTTATTATTTAAGTTTAGTTAATTTTTATTTATTATTAAATAAATTTTTCGTTTGATTTTCAGAAGAGATCACAAATAACAGTTACAACTTTCTAGTATTCACATAACACTTATTGCAGAAGTATCAAGTCAAACACCACTGTGGGAAACCCTCGCAGATGGGAAGTAAAAATTTTGAAAAAATATATAAGATATATTCATTTTAATATGAAACGCGACTGAAAATATGACTTATGCATTGTTAACATTGTTGATGGGATAAACGTCTATAGAACTTATCAGATTTATGTGATAAATCAGAAACGGTACCGAGTTTGCATGTTATAATAGAAACCAGAATATTTAGTAAACCTGTACTTTTTTTGAAAAAGGCTTTATTTGTCTGATTTTTTTTTACAGAGTAGTTATTGCTTTTTATTTCTTAGGCATTTATTAATAGCAAAGTTAAAACTTAAATATCCCAATCGTCCCAAAAAATACTGAAATTTACCTCGCAAAGTTCCGACAAAAATTTCATGGAAAATCCAGTAAAATACTGAAATCAGTTACAGAAGTAACTCTGAAAATTAACACGAAGACTTTAGAAAAGTTCGGATAAAAATCGAAAAGTTCCGAAAATATCGGATAGCCTAAGAAACCCGACAAATTCCATAGAAGCCAAGAAAAAATCCCAAAAGGTCAAGAAAGTCCGATAAATAAAAAATGAAAAAAATCGGAAAAGTGCCGAAAAATCCTGAACGGTCCGTTAAAAACTACGAAGAAATCTATAAAAGTCACGAAAAATCCGAATATTTCAAAAGCTTTAAATTTCATTATCAATGCCTATAAAAATAAAATCGAAATTTCATGCTAGGAATAAAAACGGCTAAAATTTTAAAAGTCATAAAAAAATCATTGTCTAAAATAAGAAAGAACTCGAACTAGAAAATTACCCTGGTACGATAGACGTCAATATATCGTGAAAATGTTAACACTCAAAATACATTTCATTTTTAGATTTTACGATACGACAGATGCTAGCCATGTCAGAAAAAGGGCATTTTTTCTAATTAACTGTTATTTGCGATCTCTGATTGTCAGAGTTTCAAACTCAAATTCAAATAAAAAAAGACATTTTATTTTCGTATTCTCTCTTACAGGGCATCAGTTCTTGCAGTTGATCCACCACCGGAAGGAATTAAGGATGTGTGCATTAAATATGCAATTTTACCGATATTACCTTTAAATGGCATTTCATCCAATAACTATGGAAAATTATATTTATGTAATTTAGGTATACCGGATAAATTTTATCGTGATGCTGGGATTAAATATAAAAGTCCGTTCGGCCACAAATTTGTGATACCAATACACTTAAAGGAATGAAAGAGAAGATGTAATGAAAGAGAATGCTTCAACAAATGTTTACCTATGAGAGTCGATGTTTATTATGAAAAAGTTTTTTCAAGTGCACAAGAAAAAGTAAAATGATTTGTATACACTAAAATCATCTATCGGACAACTGTTAAAAACTGAATTGCATTTCGTTATTCAAATCATTGGAGAATTGATCTATTTGGTTTCCATTGATTTCTTTTTTTGCAACTCGTGGACGTAAATGTAAATTTTTAGTTAAATTTTGTAAAATTGTGAATTTCAAATATAACTTTCGTTTTAAATTTATACTACTTGACCCAATTATTTGCCAGTTTATTAAGCAATATTCTAAATTATATGTTTGAGTCTATCTGAAAATTGGTGGCTATTTGTTCAATCAAAATTTGTTAAACTTTCATGTATCTGTCAATAAATTAGTCCACTTGTAAAAAGAGCAAACTGTATGCTTTTGATTGTTAGTTGTTATTTATTTTTCTTATGAATATAACTACATATATTCATACACAAAGTGCCATTTGTGCCAACAAAGTGATTACTTTGCTCTTAAAAGCTACATAGTACATAAAATGAATACGCATTTCGGTTTAACATTAAGAGACTTATTTCTCATGACTTTGCATTTTATGAAGTTTTGCATAGATCCCATTGAGCGCAATAAGTTGTTGATGATTGCCAATTTCAACTATTTTGCCATTTTTTAAAACGCAAATTACATCAGCATTTTGAACGGTTGACAAACGATGCGCTATCACTATACACGTGCGGCCAGTACAAGCGACATCTAGCGCCTGCTGCACTAGCTGTTCACTCTGCAAATCTAAAGCAGATGTTGCTTCGTCTAATAGGAGAATTTTTGGATTGCGTACCAAGGCTCGAGCTATAGCGATGCGTTGCTTCTGACCACCAGATAATTGAGTTCCACGTGCACCCAGACGTGTGTCATATCCATTGGGCAAAGTTACTATAAAAGAATGTGCATTTGCACATTTCGCTGCGGCTATGATTTCATCCATAGTCACTTTACGCGAATTATCTCCGTACGCTATGTTTTCAGCAATTGTACACTCGAATAGTGATGGCTCCTGCGAGACCAGTCCCAGTTTTCTTCTCAAGTCTTCTAATGGGATCTCTTTATGAATATCGTCGTCGTTTAGTTTCTGAAATATACATATGCATACATATAAATACATACATATTTACACATTAATGTGTGTATAGTAGTCAAAAATAAGATCAAATTGTTCCAATTGATGTTGAATGCATACTCTTTGGGGATTTCAGAAATGAAAGAAACTTTGTTTCCATTACCCTGCAAAAACAGGTAAAGGGTTTTCCCATAAAATTGCAATACATCGATTTATCGTGTTTCACAAAGTGTAAAAACCTTGTGCAGAAATACACAATACATATAAAAATATTGTAAAAAAAAATTAGCTCATTTGCTCTAGCTAGCTAGTTCCATTTATGCTTTTAGCTTTGATCTATCGATATTAAAAATATGTTATTAGTTATTAAACTTACAATGGTGCCACTATCTGGATCATACAAACGCATTAACAGCTGTATACAAGTCGATTTTCCACAACCAGAACGTCCTACTAATGCAACAGTTTTTCCTTTAGCTACTTCCAAATTTAATCCATTTAAAATTTTTACATCCGTACGTGTTGGATATCTGAATTCTATATTGGAAAATCTTACTCCTTCAAACAAGGTCAATCCTTTTTCTGTAGCGATGTTATCTCGCCTAGACGGTGATACGATTTTTGGTGCTCGATCCAATATCTGGAATAGTCGATGTGCCGCAACGAGAGCCGCTGTAAAAGCGGGTGCAAAAGCTAAAGATTGTGCTAGCATCATAGAACCGTATAATAGCGTTTCCGATACTCTAAAATCGAGAATCATTGAAGTACATGCGAAAGTTGTTGGTTATAAATGGTTTTGTAATAAGTTCTTTATGTAGAGCTAGAAGCATGCTGAATGAAGTCTGTACAGTGGTGATACGTTTAAACTCTGTACACTCTTTAATTTTACACTTTAGGGAAAATCACAAGTTTTTAAAGGAAACAAAAAACGCCGTAACACATTAACTTATCGTAGATTATGGATATGTATACCTTTTTTCTCAGATTAGGTCATTTAAATTTTTTATGAAAAAAAAAAATCAAACAAATAACAAATTTCATATTTTGTAATTTTACTTCTTTGTTTTTTTTTTTGCCAAAAAGCAAGCTACTAGCGATGAAAATCGATGGATAAATAAACAATTTGTAAATGGTCAAAAGAAACTGGGCAATAATTTTTTTTGTATGAAATAGGAGCAGGAAATAATGTTACTCATACGCCATATCGTACATGGGTGTCCTCTTACATGGCGTATGAGTAACATTTTTCCGTTCCCACGACAGTCGGGTCTACGTAACCGGAACGACCCAGATTTATATCTGGCCAAGGACTGTCACTCCAGCAACACTCCCCAAAATGTCTTTGGGGAATTTGTATGCTGCTACAACAACAACAACAAGTAACATTTTTCATGTTAAAGTTTGAATTTGTTTCATTCGCAATGTAAACTTAAAATGAAAATATCTTGGGGAAAATTACCCGATATTGAAAAACGGTGTACAGATCCGTAATCTACGACCCAAAATTAAGTTTACGTGTCTCGGCGTTTTTTTTTTGTATCATTTTCACGTCCCTACAGTGTTATTAAAACGTCACATGACTCTTATATTTACTTATGTATGTACATTAGGGTGGTCTAAAAATGCATGTGAGAAAAAAAAGTCGGAATTTAAATGCTCTCTCAAAAGTAAAAACTTTAACCTAATGTTACAAAAAAAACTTTGTCAATGTGTTTCTAGTACCATGAATGTTTCTTCTTTGTCATGGCTTAACACCCGAGATGTAAAATATTGTGAATCGAAATTTGCTGTAAATACGATTCTGGTAGCTTTTGGTAAATTTTTGAAATTATTTTCTTATGGCCTTATTCATAAAAAATAAAGTAGTCTTATAAAAGGTTTATAAATTGAAAAATGTATGAAAACGTCAATTTATAAAGCTCTTTAAACCTACTTTATTTTTTATGAATAAGGCCATTAAAATAAAAGTTATACAATGCAGTATTTATTGATAGTCTTCTCAGTATACCCAGTTCAATGCAAGTATGATTCATATCAAAATTAAATTGATGTATTTTGGTTTGAATTCCCGTCATCATCAAATTTGGGTTTGTTGGCTAATCGGTTTCGGCGTTATGCCATCTTCAGTGTAATTTTTCATTCTGGTTCATTCTCTGTGGTTGGTCTTCTTTGCTAAGCCTTCATTGGTGCGCCTTTATTTTTGGTCAGGTGATTTGCACTTTCGATTATCGACAATCCTTATGTGTTTCTTCTATCTCGTCCGTATATTTCGTCCTAGTTGTCCTATGTATTTGTATTGATATTCGCAGGTTAACTTGTAAAGAATAACCGAATGTAATGAAAAATACATTCAACTCTTTATTAAAGAAAAAAATACACATGAAAATCGACTTGTTTTTGTTTTATATCCAATAAATCTTCAGATTTCCAGTGTTTGACCCTAATTTAACTGTAATCAACCCTTTGATCGAAAAACGTGTTTCCTATGTTTTTTCTGAGTTAGCTTTTTTTGGAAAAATAAAGGAGATTATATTCATATTCATTGGCCCAAATTAGGTAAAGAAAACTTTAAAAACTTAATTTTCATTTCGTAGAATAGCGTTATTTATACGAGTAGTAGTTCCTTCAAACGATGTACATATTTCAATGTGCATATATGTATGTACATCATGGAAATTTTGTACAAAATTTCTTAGGCGCCGAACGCCGCACAGTGGGGCAAAAAAGTTGCTGTGGACAAATCAATTTTGAGAGCCGAAATATGAACCGATTTCATGAGTATTTTTTTTTTGAAATAAGAGATAATTAAATTTGGCGTCGATCTATCCGTGGTGATTTTTTAAAAAAGCTATAGTTTTTTTATTTATTTATGTTTAAAAATGAAAGAAACAAAATTTTTGGGTTTGAATGCTTCCAATTGTTTGGAAAATACTCGATTATTCAATTGGTTCGAAAGATATACGTGATTAAGTGAAATCACTCTTTTTTAAGCTGTATAACGGTAAATTTTAAATATCTCGAAAAGTTATCCATAGAAAAAAATTGTCTCGATTTTGGGAATCACCGAGCAATTATACATAGGAATTGGATAGTGGCATCAATAGAACATTTTTGCTGTAAACCAGTGTTATCATCCTTTGAAGGAAAATACATTTTCTGGATTACCTGTGTGGAAAAGAAAAGCATTGAATGTTTCCCAATTTTATAAAACTTTCTTCAAGAAACACGATGAATAACCAAATAAAATGTGAAATGTCATAACTAGGCACTTGGTAAATCTCTTGAAATCCTTGCCAGATTATTTTTCGGTTGGTAGTAGCAATATCGGTTAGTGTTAAGAATGAATGAAGTAGCTAAAAAGGCTGTCTTAACGTTGCTTTCTACCGAACTATAAAGCAATAACTATTAAAACGAGGAAACAATTTAATTCTTCAAATTAAATGTTAAAGTATGTATGTATTTCTAGTTCAAAGTTTTATTCATATTTAAGTTGCAGTGCCTTTGATTTTAGTAATTTGATGTGGTATTCCATAAAATGAATGGTATTTAGTGTGGGGTTTGGAACACGTGCTCTAGTGTGCTTTAGTATTATTTTCATGCTCCAGTTTACACTGCCTCTAAGTACATACTTAATAATGTCCTGAAATGGAAGTTTTCCTTGAGACACAATCACTCCTCCATAGCACAGGGCCGCTGCATATGCAAAAAATATAAATGCTTGTCCCGATGCGTTGATCAATCCCCGATATTTTAGTTTTTGCCTTATCAATGCTTGAACTTTATCTATCTCTAAGTTATATATTTCGATAGTTTGTGCTTCGCGACGCAAACCAGCAATTGTTCTAATGTTTGTAATGGCTTCCGTTGCGATGCGCGATGCTTCCTCCAACGCTGTTTTTTCATGAACCAAGGAAGCGCTCATGAACCTGAAAAATAAAAGTAGTCGACTCGAGTTATGATTTTCTTTTGAGATATGACGATTTTTTTTACACATAGGTAGGTACATACATATCGACTTATATTCAATACCCCCTTTCTGCAATTTTCACAAAAATGAAATTCTTATATGAAAACCCACCTAAGGCTTAACTATTTTCGATGATGTTAATGCTGACCTTTTATATCGTTTGTTAGAAGAATTTACTATTGAATTGCAAAGTTAAAATTAACATCAGTGATGTTCTAACATAGGAAATTAGATTTTTGAAAGTTGTACTTAGAGGGTATTGAATATAAGCTCCCGATATGTGCATATACATATATGTATGTATAGAACGTTTCATGAGCCACATCCGTGTCTAAAATTCAGAGCTTAGCAGAAAGTCTTTCATTGCCTAATCGTCTTCATATGTATGTACATTTAGTTAAAAAAAACGTGGCCTCTTGAAAAATTCTATTTGGCATCTCAACTATGGCGTCTAAAGTAAGTGTAAATTAGTAGTAATTAGAGAATAAGAAGAAGATTACGGAACTGAAGTTAGATTTTAAAATTTCAAAATGGTGGATCCATATTATCTACCATTTATAAAGGCAAAGTTAAAGTCGAACGTACGTACATACATGGCGTATGAGTAACATTATCATCTCCTAGGTAACTCATACCCACTGTACGCACATACATACATATGTTCGATTTTAACTTTTCCGTTATAAATGGTAGATCAAATATGGATCCGCCATTTTGAATTTCTAAAATCTAATTTCAGATGCGTAGTCAGCGATCTCGAGAACCCCCGATTGTAAAGTTTTGGGAGAATTTAATTGATTTTAATTTTTCAGGCCGCCATATTGGGTCCGCCATTTTGAATTTTTCTAATCTGACTTTAGATTTGTAATCAACAACCACAAAAACACACGAGGAAAACGTTTCAAGCGAATCGGATAAATTTTTTTTGGCCGCCATATTGGATCCGCCGTTTTGGATTTTTAAAACCAGGCTCCAGATTTGTAACACTGTGCGACAAAAATAAATAAAAAAATATCAAAACACACGAAAGAATCGATATATTCACGAAACTATGGGCCAAATATAGTAAAACTGCGTTTTTTAGTTTTTCACTCTGACGTGAGGATTTTTTTCAAAGGACTTTGAAATTTTAATGATATGAATAATTAAAAAATTATTTAAAAAAATCAGTGTAATGTAGAATAACAATATGGGTACCAAATGAGAGATAAAATTCTGTAGAATTTAAAAACAATAAAGTTTTTTGGTTTACAAGAACGAGTAGGTGGAAATGCGCTTTTAATTTAATCTTTTTCGGTTAATAAAGTTTGCAGCACGAAATTCGATGATGCGGTCGTGTGTATATTAGTACTCAAACAAAATTTTTTTTTCAAAAATAAATATTACAAATTTCCAAGGATATTTAAGGACAAGATTTGTAAAGGACATTTTCCATATCCATTCGTCCTTATGCACAAAAAAAATTATTCTGCTATAATTCTGCAGATTTTTTTCTTTTACACGATACCCTTATTGCTATCCTATACATTGCACTAAATGTTTTAAATAATTTTTTGAAATAATCATATTTTTTAAATTTAAAAGTTCTTTAAAAAAGTCCTGACGTCAGAGAGAAAACTAAGTACGCACTTTTACTATAATTTATCCATTGTTTCGCGCATATATTCATACGAAACCGCTTTTACTTTTTTAGTGCTGGGTTCTCCAGAGTCACAAAAGTTGTAAGGAAAAATCTAATTTATAGTTAGTTTAGATGCCATAGTTGAGAGGCCATATTGAATTTTTAAAAAGGCCGCATTTTTTTAAACCAAATGCATATATGAAGACTTTTAGGCTAGCTGATTACTGTCGGACCATGGATTATTCATTTGCTGTATGTATTTCAAAGGAAACATACTGGTCGGAACCCCAGTTATTGCACTCGATATAGAATTTAAAAATCCTTACTTACTTTGTTTCAAAAATAATTGAGCCAACTATAACTGGGCAAGCGCACACGCACACCAAAGCCAAGTTCCATGAATAATAAAGTGACAAGGTGAATGCAACAACAAAGTTAGAAAATGCCTGCAGCAAACCACTCAATGGATAGCCAATGGCACCTTGTACACCCGAAGCATCTCCCGTTAATCTTGCCGACAGTGCACCTACCGAGTTAGTCTCTTCATCAAACCAGCCAATCTCTTGATGCATTATTGCCGAGAATGTCATTGAACGCATTCGTGTAGTTAACCATACACCTGCATAGTTGAATAGATATGTTTGTAGAAAAGCGCCTACGCCTGTTAATACAGCCAATATTAGGCAATAGATTGAGAGAACTGAAGTACGATGTAATGCCTCTTCTGCATCGGGTTGAGCTAAAGCGGCGTAAAATTCTCCAAAAATGACCGAAAATGCTGGATAAGTGAAGCCGAACGCTATGGCACATACCGCACCCAACAATAGCATACACCATTCAGGACGCGCTAATTTTAATATGCGCCTAAATGTTACGATGAAATTTCCCCCAGTATCATCTTCCTTTGGCGCATTTTCTTTGTTCTTCGTATGCACAACTGGCTGTTCATATGATATGTAATTTTTTTCCATGTTAATTAAATCGGTTTCAAAAGATTTTTCCAGTGAGTTCAAATTGATTTCTGAAAGAGGGAGACAATATTGTAAAATCCATAATTCGATTATATGCCAATCCTAAACCATCGTACAGATTCCTAAGTAAAAACACTATCAGCTGATTGCCAAAAAATTCCTACAGTTGAGATCACCTTAAATAATAAATAAAATTGATTTTATCGACAATTATTCATAAGAGCACATAACTTTGTATTACTAATTAGTAATTTTTTTGTATTTTTTTTTATATGAAAAAATTGGTATTTTTTTCCTTTTAAGTGTTTTCTCCAATTTTTATATACGAAGTATACAAATATGCATATTGGACGAAAGGGGGCTTAATCGCCTTAACAACGATGCCAATTTTTTAAAAATCGGTGAGTAATTTTTTTGTTTAAAATATTTTTTGATAAAAAAACTTTATTTTTTCCTTTTAAGTGTTTTTTCTCAAATTTTTATTCACGAGGTATACAAATATGCATATCAGAAGAAAGGGGGTTAAATCGGCTAGTAATTTTTTGTTAATTTTTTTTTTATACGAAAATACCTTTTTTATTTTTATTTTTAAATGTGTTTTTTATAACATTTTTATATGCGAAGTATACAAATATGCATATCACAAGAGGGGGGTCTTTTGTAAATCCGTTCAAAATTTTCTGAAATATTATGTTTTTAATTTTTCGAAGATCTGAGCTTTGACCCGTTATAACACCTGTAATATAAGTTTTCACAAAAAAAGTTGTATGCCATATAAATAAGAGAAAAAGGCGGACCACGTCTGTGTTTTTACTTTTTTTGTTTTTACATGCAATAATAAAAAAAATTGAACAAAGGTCCGATTTCGAACTTCGAAGGCCCATATCTCGATTTCGGAGGCTAACTTCGAAAAACAGAGAACATACTTTTTTTACTATGACTCAATCTCTTAAAAAAAAAAGTTGGTTTGGTCNGGCTAACTTCGAAAAACAGAGAACATACTTTTTTTACTATGACTCAATCTTTTAAAAAAAAAAATTGGTTTGGTTCAATACCCAGCCGAGCGCTGTACAGTGTTATAGAAAAGTTCAATATTTTGAACAAAAATCCCTAATTTTTTTAACTTTAATTTGATACGTATATTTTACGCTTAAACAAAATACTTCTAAATTCTAATTCGAGAGAGCTCTAAAGGTCTAACTTTTTAATAATTTTTTTAAGGCCTTAGTCCATTTGTTTTTCAAGACTTTCAATGTAAAATTTATTAACTGTTTCTTCATACACAGAATCTAAAAACTTACTTTTATCTTCGATGACATTTTCTTCAGTGGTTTCCGCTACGTTAATATCCCCTGCGCGTACCATATTATAATACATTCCCTTCAAAGTCATGAGATCATCGTGTGATCCCTCTTCGAAAACTTTGCCCTCATGTAGGAAAACTATTTTATCTGCTCCCCGAATAGCTGACAATCGATGTGACACCACAATAGTTGTACGTCCTTTGCTTACCAAATCCAGTGCTTGTTGGATATCTTTTTCGGAGTGATAATCTAAAGCAGAAGTTGCTTCGTCCAACAGTAAAATTTTAGGATCCTGTATTAGTGCCCTGGCAATAGCTATGCGTTGCTTTTGGCCACCGGAAAGTTGTGATCCTTTTTCCCCAATAACAGTGAGGTAACTCTAGGAGCGAATTATATATAAGTGTGTATTGCTATGTTTTTTAGAAAAAATTTCCAATATTGAACAAAATATGGATGTATGTTCATATCTCTTAGAGCCGTTTTCTCATTTTTAAGAAAGATAAAAAATGTGTTTAAAGGGCAGATAAATTTTAAAAATTTATCGCCTTATTTATATAAAATAAAATAGGTTTATAAAGCTTTATAAACTGACATTTTCATAAATTTTTCAATTTATAAACTTTATTTTGTATATTTAATAACGCTTTAATATTCACCTCAGGCAAACTGCATATAAAATCATGTACGCCGGCCGCTTTAGCAGAAGCTTCTATTTCCCTTTGAGTTGCGTTCTTTTTGCCATAACTAATGTTATCCGCTATAATATGAAAGAAAATAATGAAATCAGACATTTATATAGTACTGCCTAAGTAAAACTTACCAATAGTTCCCTGAAATAAGACTGGCTCTTGACCAACCACCGCCATATTCGATCTCAGCCAATGTATATTATATTTTCTAATGTCCAAACCATCTAACGTTATTGAACCGAAAATTGGATCGTAGAAACGTTGCAACAATTGTATGCAAGTTGATTTGCCGCAACCGGATGCTCCCACGAGTGCAATAGTTTGGCCAGCATGCACTTTGAAATTAACACCACGATGAACAATTACATCAGAACGAGATGGATAGCGAAAGAATACATCTTTAAATTCAATTTCTCCTCGCAATCCATAGTTTAATATTTTTCCGTCGCTGGATAATGGATCAATTTTGGATTTAGAATCGATCACTTTGAAAATATTAGTGGCGGAGCCACGAGCTGTAGAAAAAGATTCTAGAAATGGTGCAGTACGTGCGATATTGTCGGCGCCAACGATTATTCCGAAAAATGCCTAAAATATTTGATAGCTTAGATGGTTGTAAATAAGATTCTTATATTGGCTTATCACACTTCTGCAAAATTATGAAATATTCGATAAAAATTTATTCAATACTAAATGTACTCACTATCATTAAAATTGCGGGAGTATATTCCTTGTCTTCCAAATTTCTATTATCTATAATTAAGTTTACGCCATACCAAAATGCTCCGGCGCAAGAGAAAAAGAGCATCGATTTTAAGACTCCATCGCTGAATCCTGAAAATGCACCTTTGCTCTGACTAGCTTTTCGTGCAGGCACAAGATAGTTATCATAACGTTCGGCTTCCTTTTTTTCAGCTCCAAATGCAACTACGGTACGAATTGAAGTAAGGACTTCCTCAACAATATTACCAGCTCCCGCATACGATTCCTGTTCTCTTTTAGTCAGCTTACTTTGGTACTAAATAGGATATAAACCAGTTGTATAAATACAGCTTCTTGGGAAATTTGAGATCTTTCACTTCGTCCTACGCATATTCAGATATTTTGGTCTGGTGTCCAAAAAAATTTGGTACTTAGTAAGTATATTGAAGGTCAGATAATGATTCTTAGATTATTTAAATTACGGTTATGAACTTTCTGTCAATGGCATTTTACATGAGATTGTTAACATTTTTTCAGTCTGTGTTATCTATTAGAATACAAATATTATATGCTTTTCTTACCATTCCAACAAAGTAATTCAACACAATTACAATTGGTATATATACACTAACTGCCAATGTTAGTTTCCAACCATAAGCAAATGATATGCATACTGTTATAATAAATCCAAATATAAGGTACAAAAAATGAGCTACTTTCTCAGATATGCCGTCCCTGACTTTCTCTACATCACTGCAAATTAAAGAGATAAAATACATTCATACGTTAGGATGGTTAAAAATTAATATCATTGTTTAGTTTACTACAATTTTATTACATATGTATATGAAATTAAAAATGCATGCATTTATCTGCAATTAAACGATTCACTAAAGGCTCTCGAAAGCGATGAGAATAGCAATTAAGTGTAATTTGAAATTTTTATTTAAAATGAACTTGACCGCTAAATACAGTTAACTATTAGGCGTATTGCACTGTAGACACTTTTATGTTAACAGTTCTTTAATGAGGCTTTTTTTCATTGGTTTATTTTTTTACGTGGCGGGTTTTAAGCCCTGTGCACTGCCCATTGCTGGGATGTTGTGTTAGACGGAAGATACTCTTCCAGCGTTCTTGACGTGCGTTTTAGCGCAAGAGCCAACATCGACTCCTCTGCAGCTAAGAAGCTGCAGCCACAACGGGCAGCCGAGAAATTTCTCAATCGTCTCTCAATCCATTTTAAAGAAGGAACTAGGAAGGAAGGAGGATATAAATGAGCAGTGGAAATCCTTTCACAATCCCATCTTGTCGCTGCGGACAACTGGAACGACGAAGAGTGCCGTATTGTTGCTGCAGAGAAATACGCAGCATACAAAACCAAACCGCGAAAAAAATTAAGTGCGCCTGGCCCACATTGGCGAAGTGGAACTTACGTAACATACCTAGAAATTGTGAATAAAACGACAGGCTAGTTAATATAATGTTATATTTTATCTTTTTTCTATATTTATCCCTACCCAGGCCCGTCGAGAGGGGGAAAGGGCGCCGGGCTTTTTAAGGTGCCTGAAATATCATAACCATAACTTGTTATTAGTTTTTTACAATTTAATTTGGAAAGAAAACAATGCGCATGCTTTCAACAACCATGTTTTTCATTATAAAAACAAATATTTTTCCATGTAATGCCATGTCATGTGATGTGATATCATATGATGTCATATAATGTGATGTCATGTCATGTGATGCCATATCATTTAATGTGATGTAATTATGGTCACATGTCAAGTGCCGATTATTAGCTGTCGATAACTGTGTCGATAAATACACCAGTAACAATATCGACAAACATATCGAATAATATAACGATTGTAAAATCGATTTATTAATCGATAAATATATTGATAACAATATCCATCATTATATCGATAACAAAATCGATTATTATATCGATAGCAATATCGATTGTTTCATCGACAATAATATCGATTGTAATGATAAAAGTATAGATTATTATATCGATAACAATATAGAGTATTATACCGATAACCATATCGATCTTCATCCTCATATTTTTCGTCATATTTATCTTTATTTTTACATATTCCCCTTCACCTTTACCTTAAAGTGTTTAAATTTGATCTTCTTGCCTTTATCTTTACGTACGTACTAACCTTTACTTTCATTCTTCTATTGGGCTTAATTACAATTTATTTCTTCATCATCACATTTATCTTTATTAAAAAGTTTAATTTCAAATACGAAGTAAAACAAAATGCGAAAACAACTCAAATTGAACAGTTTGCAACAACAACAATACACAACAATACAATACGGAAATTTTCAAACGACGGTTTTGGGCGTAATTTTCAACCAATTTTGAAACCATAAAAACTCTCCTCATGTACAGAAAAATTAATTTCCAATGTTTTTGGTTTTGAAATCTGTTCGGTAGAATCGCCAAACGAACGGAGACAAAATTTATGTCAGTGTATATTAATAAATAGTAGATTGTAAGAGAAATGGATGAAATTGTTATAGAAATGAAAGATATTGTAAAAGATAAGAGCAGATGCCAAAAAATAGGTGATCTCAGGTGTAGGAATTTTTTGGCAATCAGCTGATAGTGTTTTTACTTAGGAAACTGCACGAAGCAAGGCACATTTAATAGAGAGCAAGAATAGCAAGCTGCGTTTATTTTTTTAATGACAAACAAGGTAATCAAAAATTTGGAAATTGTAAACCATAATGATAATTTAGAATGCATAAAAAAAATCAAACCAATCGCTCTGCTATGCCTTGAATCTGACCTCAAAATGGAGGAGATAGCTCGGCCAAATATTTGTTTATTAATTTTATGCATGCACATAGTATTTATAATTTACTCGACTCACTCTATCAATTGTTGTGTAAAATTTTGCTTGGTCGCCATATCATGCCATGTAATATCTTGTCGTATAACTGTTTCAAATAGTATTTTGCGCATGCGCGTGATTTGTTTCAATGCGACGAGATTAAAAATATCAACTGATAAAACACCAGATATGAACATGACTACGGATAGTATTGTTAAAAGAATTCCATATGATATTGAGTCGTTATACAACTCCGACATATTTTCCTCTAAGGTTGCATTTGTACTGAAAATGAAAATATATTTTACTAAAGATTTTTTTTAATTGTATCATATTTAAAAACTCACAGCATTTTACCGCCGCCAAATATTGGTAACGCATATGTTTTGGAAGTGGTACCAATTTGCAATGTGCGATCCACAAGCATTGAAGTGAATTCACTATACACTATCACGACACCTGGTAATGTAAGCGCTTTTATTATAGACATCATAAAGCCAATAAATAAAAAGAAGTTCTCTAATATCGTCGAGAAGCGATACAGTTTAAAAAAACTTAAGGTTTTTGTGCTTTCATTATCCGCTTCAGTATCTGCTAATTCATCTAACACTGTAGACGTTTGCAAGTCGTTGTCTTCCTTTTCTTTCATTTTCCGTTATTTCAATTAAACAGTTAATGTAATATATTCTGAAAAGAAAAAAAAATAATGTACATTAGGGTGCATCATAAATAAAATATTATCTAAGATTTACGTGAGCTGGACCTATTTGAAATTACCACCAAAAATCGAGCTTTTTGCACAAAGATAAAATTAGTTTTTAAAAATATTTTTTTCCAAAAAAATTCCCGAAAGGTGATAGAAGAGTTTAAGCTCAAAAAGTCTACATAAAAATGTTTAATCATTGTATCAACGGAAGCAAAATAATGCGATTTTTCGAGGTACATATTTTCAAATCGCTCTAGCTCACATAATTCTTAATATTTTTCCGAAATGCATTTTATATGTCCGGTAGAAAAACCGCAACTTTTTTGGGTGATGCACCCTTATGTACATACAGTAAAGTATACTATGTTCCACGAATAACGATTACTGAAAAGGTCATATAACTGTTACCAATTAAAATTTTAACTTGAATTCTGAGAATGAAATTTAGAAAATGTTTAAATATATATATATATACATAAATAGCCTTAGAAAGATATTTTCGCAAACAAGCATAAGCGCCTATTTGCACCTTCAGTCGCATTCAATTAATTTTGCGTTCTTTCTGTGTGACGTTAAATATATTCACAATTCTTTGCAGATGCGCTGTGAAACTATTGAACTTTGCCACTAATTTAAGTTAATTGAAGACAATCGACATTGCATAATATGTATGTATTAAAAAGAGAGTGAATACATCAGAATTTCACTAGCAGCTAGTTCTCAAGCTACTTGAATGAATGAAAGTAACAAAAAAAACAAAACTACATAGCTCACAATACGAGTACGTACAGTAGTAGGTAAATGCCATTGTTGCTCTCATTGAAACTTGAGATATATTTTATTAGAAATCTTAAATCCTGGATAGGATAGTGCGAATGATGTTCTTTTTGTCGTCGTCGTACAAAAATCAAATTTCATATTCTGTTTGGGTAGCGTTCCCAATAGAAATAGAAATCTTTAAAGAATATGGCTCTCTCCGTATACTTTTTTACTTCCTAGACTCAAGAATGGAAAATAGTCGTGATCTTGATATTTTCAGGTACATATGTAGCTTGATCTTAATTTTATTTTCTTAAAAATTTCAACATTTATATTTCACTTTATGTACATATTTATTTATTTATCACATCATATTTGATCGATACTTTATGATTAAAAAAATTTAAGAATTTTTTCGATCGGTTCATATCTATATCATTTGTTTTGAACAAATAAAATAGAAGCGTGCTAAATTCAATTTTATTGGTCACTGGTATCATACTATGCATACATAACCAAGTAAAATAATTATATGTGCAATATTTCAACTTAAACTAATTAACGGACCATATTAAAGTTTAAGTACCTCTATCGCAATTTATTTCTACTTATGCAGTATCATATATTCAAGTACATACATATTTAAACCGCATCAGGGCCTAATTATTGTTCTGTGTAAAGGTAAAGTCAAAACATTTTATGGCAAGTTATAAAATTAAGATTATGTTTTCAAATTTAAATAAAAAAAATACAAGTATGTATTTGTCACAAAGTTTTGCGGCATTTTGCTCATCTTATCTTATGGTAAAGAATATCATTATCTTCCTCAGTGACTCAAAGTTCGAACACACATATGGGCACTCTAACTGTGGATTTTTTCTTTCCTCCAAGAACGCGTTTGTTGCTCGTAAAGTATGTATGGCTCAGTGCAATGTCCCGCTAGAAAAACCATTTCATTTTTTTTCACAGTGCACTGCAGTGATTTGTATTTTGACGTTTTAGAATGCTTATCCTACCAAAATCTGTGAAAAACGCAGTTTTGAAAAAGGTGTAGGCTTTTTACGATTTGCTAAATACCAAAGTAGTTAAATATAATCCTAAATAATAAGCGGTTTAATTTTTATTTTAGAAATTGAAAATAAAATAAAATGCTTCGTGACTTTCGCAATTTTTTGAAACATTGAAACAAATTTTTTTTTGGGTTTTTGTAGTTCTTTCGGGTTATAGTTTTCGAGGGTTTTCGGAGACTTCTCTGGATTTTGGAATTTTCGGGGCTATTTGTATACAGTATTTAGTGAAACAGAAACATTCATTAAATTAGCTCTAACGGTCACTTAACTAATGATCGTTAATTAATCTGTTAATTAATGTTTACTCTCAGAGTTAAAAGATAAGAAAGGGCTAATTGGTTAATGAAAAATTTAAATTTGGCCCCAGTGGCGACCCTTTTTTATGTGGCATCACTCACTTTTTTCGTCCAGCTTGGAATCAAATATAAAAATAAGTATTTATATCATTTTGCGGGTACTACCTCAACAGTCGCAATTGGCTAAGTGAGCGGAGCACTGGCATGACATTCGAGAGATCCGAATTCGACTCCCCGGGAAGGAAATTTTTTTTTCTTTTTTTTTTCTTGTTAAATTTTTAAAAACTTATATTATTAAATTTTTGCTTTTTTAATTTAATTTTCTTTCGATTTGTAGGTTTTAAAAAGGAAAATAAACTAACTAACTAAAAGAAAAACAATTCCGTTGCCGGTCAAAGCATAAAAAATGTAGAAAAAAGTTTTTTCTAAACAACGATGGCCCCTCGGCAGGCAATGGCAAACCTCCGAGCGTATTTCTGCCATGAAAAACAGCTTTTCTTAAAAATACAATCGCCGTTCGGGGTCGGCATAAACCAATAGCTCCTTCACCTTTGTGTGAGAACACCAAGGCGCACGCCACAAATCGAAGGAGAAGCTCGGCCGAACACTAACATATGTGTAAGCGCCAATCTATTATTATCATTAACGGTTAACACGTGAACCGTTTTCGATAATTAATTTTTTTTATCGGAAATGTGGTACCTAAAGCGTGATCCCATACTAATTCGGTTAAATTCCCATCGTTGGACCACAAATAAACTAAACGGTATTCCTAAATTTGTATGTGAGCGTAGAAGTCGGTTATGTTTTTTGCTTAAAAATTACGAGTTTATTTTAATTTTCTTTTATGGTACTCGCGATTCTTGGGATTAAGATTTTTTAAATATATGTACATATTTATACGATATTTAAAATTTGTTATGGTGTGGTTTGCATTGAGCATGGGGCCATTTTGATTGAAAAAAAATTTGCTGGAAAACAACAATACATAATTTGCAAAGATATTAGTTATAGCTGATATTTCGGAGATCACCACATCTTTTCATCGATTTCGTATTTATACTAAATATTTAGAGTGCTGATGCATAGTAAAATGTTTATTTTTGTTATAAAAATCCAACAGAACACTGTTTTGAAGCTGAATCCCTTCCTAAATAAAGTTCGAATAATTGATACTTTTTATATATGAATATATGAATTCGTTAATTACCAAAGCGAATAAGTCAGCATAAGTTTCATAAATACATATAGTTATATTAAATAAACATTAATTAAGTCAATCCAATAATTCCCTCACGCACAGATTCCTGGTGCTCGCCGCACAGTATACACACTCGAGAATTAAAATGTTCGGATCACCTCTTACACGTTTCACAATACACTTTAAATATTCAAGGATATTTGATTTATTTATTATTAGCAAATTTACGAAGCAGCCTGTTTTTTTTTTTTTTTGTTTTGACGAGCACTATTATTTTCCATCTTACCTAGTTAAGACACTGTTTTCAAATTATACAACTGGCGCAAACGACTACTTTCCACAAACTGATCGCTTATTTATTGTCAGTGCAGAAGTTGACCAAGTGTCTTTTCTTTCTTCAGTAATATTCGATTGATTCAATCAACTTATAACGTTGTACACTACTATCCAAGATTCAAATAATAAAGCTAAATTAATTTGCCTGTTCTAGACAATTAATTGAATTAAAAAATAAAATGCAAGAAGTTTTGTTCGGCATACACCTTTTCATATATGTATAAGCTGTGTGCAATGCTAGCCGAGGTCTCAGATTTACTCTCCTCCGATTTTAATTTGCTGCTAATTTTTCGCTTTTTGTTTTAATGTCTGAATTAGAGGTCCGCAAGGAGACGTTTTTTCGATGCTACCGAAGTATTTCGGATGGTGCCGTTAGTTTTAGCTATTGGTGTTATAAATTAGAGAAAACTACTGAAAAATTTATAAAGTCTACATACATATATATCTAAGTTTTGAAATTTGACTCGCGTAAAATACAAAAATACTTATGATTTTGATAACAAAAACTTAATATTTTTGTCGCTATAGTTGATCAACCTCATTGGTTAACTCAGGCCCGGCCACAAGGGAGGGTTTTGGGGGTTTAAACAAAGGCCCTGTAGAGGGAAATATGCATAAAAATTTGCCATAATTTAGGTTAAGATAATAATGGTAAAAAATATTTTGAGATCTCAATTTTTTAAGATCTCATTTCAGAGATAGTAGTTGAGTAGTTGAGAGATCTAGGTTTAAATTAAACCAGGAGGTTCTACCACCTTTTGTTTCTCTGCTAAAGCTTCTAAAATATTGCAAAAACTGCGATTTTTTGACACTTTGACCTCGTTTTTTCAAAATCTGGAGCTGATGGAAACTTAGTTGTATTTTGGAACGAATTTCCGTCATCCCTTGTCGTTCTCCGAACGAAAAATGACACTGAAGATGGCACAACGTTGAAACCGGTTTGTCTCCAAACCAAATTTGACAAGGGATGACGGAAATTCGTTCCAAAATACATCATACACCCACCCTGTCGGAAACAACAACAACCAAAAAGGAAATATAGTATAGTTATTATTCAGTAGGTCATTGAATTAAAACTAGTTCGAAATTGAAATGAACTATTTGCTCCAGGTTTGTCTTTTTTTAATTTTAATTATATTCATATATATCTATATATGTATATACATATTAAATAATGCAATTATTTATTCATTTATTAATTAAAGTGAGCCGAGTGGAAGAAAGTGCGAAAGGCAACAGCAAAAAAATAATAAAAATCAACGGTAATATTTTGCCCTTTAAACGTGTACATTATTATACTGAAATTAAATTGGCTTCTAAAAATTAAAAGTGAAAAGTTGAAAACTTTTTTAATTCTGTATTGTATATTTTTCGAGCTCAAGGCCACATGAAAATCTGACTGAAGTCGAAATATCGGCAAATAAAAACAAATGTAAAATCAAAAATTTTGTTACGATTTTCATGTGGCCTTGAGCTCGAAAAATATACAATACTGTGTAAAACGAACGGCCAATAAAAAAAAAGATAAAACTTTTTTTATTTGTTAAATTTTTGTGAGTTTTTCCCAAAGTTTTAAACTTTAACTTATATGGCGTATGCTATACAATTTTTATAAAAAAATTAGTGAAATTAGTTTAAAAATTTAAATATTCTTTTAACATTCGTCAATAAATTCAAGCAATTGAACTAAAAAATTTCAGTTTTTTTAAGGGAATCGTGCCAGTGCGGGTAATTTAACCGAAAATCGGGGAATTTCGCGGTGGAAAACGGGGAGAAAGATAAAATGAGTTGGCATCCCTGATTCCGGGCACGAAAAGTTGTTTTTTGCGTTCCTCACGCTCTGGGCACTTTTGGTACGGGTTGACACATTTTCGACACTTGTTAGAGAGTAACTTATTTTTACGCTCTAATAACCGAAACAGCCCGGAAAGCGTGTGGAACAAACCTAATATCGGCGCAACTATCTCTATTGCAATTTCATTTGTTTACATTTATCAGCTGTTCATTTGGCAGCATGTTCATCAAGCCGTTTCTAATACGGCTTTCCCACGCTATACAAAATATTGAGAGCGAATTACCGCATTTATTGGTAATTCAGATCCAAGTTTATCAATGTGTATATCCCTAATTTAAAACGGAAACTTATACATATTTAGGAAGAATCTACAATTTGCATCAATTTTGCAGCGAAGAAAAACAAAAACAAAACACAGAGACAGAGAACTGTGAAATCAAATTAAGAATGTGGTCGTGGGAATGGCGTTCCAATTTCTCTTCGAATTACGTAAATCGCCATACAAAATTTTGAGAGCGCATTACTTCATTTGTAGGTAATTCAGATCCAATTACCGTGAGAATTACGAATAAATCGCTGCCGTCTCTAATTTTAATCGGAAATTTATCGAACTCAGCTGTCAGAGCAAGAGAGAATAGAAAAAATCAAAACAAATAAAGGGAGGAAATTAAGGAAAACACAATGAATTGTCAAATCGAATTAGCAATGAGTCATGTAAACGGGGTAATTCACCAAAGTAATTCAGGGGCTCTATTCTGTAACTGTGAGTTTTCAAGTGTACACTGAAAAATTAGAAATTTCCTGCAAACACATTAGAATTTACAGAAGGAATTACAATACAAATTTTCTACTTTACATACTATTCTACTACCATTTTCGCATCAATGGATTTCATTCTTCCCCTTTCTCTGTTCTTCGTAAAATGGTCCAGCCTTAATCTTTTGCATTTCCGTATAAACGTTGTAAATATAAGTCTGATCCGTGGTGGAGAAAATAACTTTCGGTGGAGAAAATAACTTTTGGCCCTATGAGGTAGTCGCAGGCCGAGTTCTTGCTGAAAATGTGTTTTTTTTATATGATTTAGATTTGTTTTAACAGAATTGAATTTTATTTTTCTTCTGTTTTTCATTTTATATATTTGATTTTTTATCTTATTTCCTCTTGTTATTTCATTTAATTTTATGCTACTCTATTCAATTATTTCTTTTCTGTTAAGTTGGATTATTTTATATGGTTCTATTTTTTTACTGCTGCTTACTTTTTTAACATTAAAATCTAAAGATTATTAAAAAAAATAAAACTAATACAAAAATATAAAAAATCCTCTACGCCCGGGGAGTACTCGAACCCGGACCCTCTCGACCGACAGCCTAATGCTTTGACCACTCGGCCATTGCGACTCTTCGGGCGGCGCGGCAAAAGGCATATGTAAACGCTGTCAGTTGACTGCCTGTGTTTGTTTTCACCACACGTACCATGTTCGGACCGAAACTTGTGTTTTCGTCCATGTAAAATCTGTCAAACGAAAACCATTATTCGCTGAAAATTACTTGAAAACTCCGTTCCACTCATTCCAATCGGTGTCTTCACTAGTATTTTAGATTATTTATCGAAGTGGAAGTCATATTTTATCATCTTTAATACGCTAGCTGGGATTTATTGTCAATTAGCTGGCCAAATTAAAATATGAACAAAAGAAAAAGGTTGCTTATGATAAGAAAATGAAACACAAAGATAATGGCCCGTAGTCATAGTCAAAATAAAGTCGACTTTAAAGTTAGTTGCAGCTTTTTTGACAGATATCCCATTGAAAATTATGTCAAAAAGCTGCAACTAACTTTAAAGTCGACTTTATTTTGACTATGACTACGGGCCATTGATTTCGTTTTTTCGTAGCAAAACTGTAAAGAAAGGATAAAAGAAATGTTAACGAAAACACTACCAGCCGGTGCGAACAGCTTTCAGCCCACAATCCCAAAACTCGTTTTCAAAGTGTTTTCGTTGTCGGTTCGAACATGGTATTACCTTTTACCATGTTCTGATAGCATTTGAGCCAAGGCGAATTTATATAAGGTGGTGTTACTAGATCAGCTGATTTTGTGTATGTGTTTCGCCTCACGGCTTCTTATGCCAAATTTAAAAATTTTGTTTGAATTTCCACACACACTCTTACAGATTTTGACAGTTTATGCCGCCAAAGCAAAAACAAAATACATGTAACTGCCGTCCCTAAATTGGAGCGCTAAGCGTTGCGTTATCCATTGTCGACGAGTGTCAGCGCCCCAAATCAACGCGTCGTAATTTTTGACGTTTTCTCAGATCCTCTCGTTTTTATTCTCCTTTCCTCTTTCACTTTTTTGTCCTTTCTCTTTCTTTCCGTCTTCCGCATCCAACTTCAACACGTAACGCCCTGTCAAAAATGAAAATTCCATTTGCTCGGCGTTAGCGCCGCGTTATTCGAAGCGCACATTGGCGCGATTCTGTCGTTGCGAATCCGCAAGCCCAAAAATTACAACAATGCTACCGATACATTTTAATGCGCTAGCGCACACTTGCACGATTCCGTCGCTGCGAATTTTTCGAACATTCAATGTTCCTCTCTATTGACGCGTTCGAAACGCGGCTTGCAGCGTTTTGAAGGCGTCAAAGAAGAAGAAGAAAGGTGTCACAGCAATAAAGGCAAAGAAAAAAAAACGTGTAATGTACAAAAACTAATAAAAACGTTCGTAATAATAGTATTTTGTACGATTTGGGCACGCCGAGTGCGAAAATACACGAAATAAAGGGAAAATTGAGTGAATTGTACATCGGAAATCGACGCGAAAAAATCGCTCAAGTGTGCGCACGTTTGCGGATTCGAAGTTAACAGCCGAATTCGCAACGTATTCGCAACGATGGAATCGCGCTAATGTGCGCTTCGCTTTATTGTGGGATGCTTCATACAAATTGTATGGGCATGAGGATTTTTGACAGTTGTTTGGCGCTTGACGCGCCAATTTAGGGATGGCAGTAAGTTTTTGTTTTTGTACTCCTGCTATCACCTTATATAAATTCGCCTTGATTTGAGCATTTTAAAATATTGGATACAGTAGCACGAAATGTCACAATCTACTTAATTGTCAGGTTGTGTGCCTGTGGATATACGAGACAAGTGACAGCTATTTCGATAGCTCCTGCAACTTCCATCTCTTACCGGGCGATAATTAAAAATATCGGGACATCGTATTTGCATTGAATTTTCAATACGTGTATTGTGTCCGGATTGCACATAGATTGGATTGTAAAATAACACATTTTAACTAATTGTATTATTTTATAAAAGTATACAACAAACAACTTGATACTCACGGTATATGACTGCATATTACAAGAAATCTGAAGCATTTTTGAAGAACAATTGTACATGGATTCGTAACATTCTCATTTGAGTTGACCGAAGGCAGTGTTATGTGGATGTAAAAAATCTGAATCTATAAGAGATATATTTTATCGTTCAAATCTTTAAAGCAATAAAATTGATATGTGGCAAAAACGAGCGCTTGCGTTTTGTTTAGTATTGTTGTTGAACGACTGGCGAGCGTTCGCAGATGAGCATAACCATAAGGTAAGAATCGAAAATACATTCTCGATTGGTTTTTGTTAATTTACTTTATTCAAGTACAATGACCGAGAAGAGGTAGTGCTGTGGATGAATACAGTTGGGCCGTACCATAACAGGCAGGAGACATATGCCTACTTTTCCTTGCCATTTTGTAGTGGTGCCAAACAAAGTATTTCCCATTATCATGAGACCCTCAGTGAAGCACTCCAAGGTGTCGAGCTAGAGTTTAGTGGCTATGAAATAGACTTTAAAGGTTAGCAAAAAAATATGTGGTTTGAATATCAGTAATTTATTAAAAATCATACAGTTGACGTCTCTCCAACCGTAATTTGCATGATCGATCTAACAATTGATAAAGTGAAGGCTTTTACATATGCTGTTAAAAACCAATATTGGTATCAAATGTATATAGATGGCCTTCCGATCTGGGGGGAGGTTGGCAAAAAGGATGAAACGGAAGAAAAGTATTTTATTTTTACGCATAAAAAATTTGAAATTGGTTACAACGGTCAGCAAATTGTTGATGTGACTCTGCACAACGAAAAAAGAGAGTTGTTAACACCAGGAGCCAAAATTAAGTTTTCTTATGAAGTAAACTGGAAGCCAAGCACAGTTGAATTTAAAAATCGGTTTGACAAATATTTGGATCCGAAATTTTTCCAACATAGAGTGAGTATAATGCTTTGAATACGTAACATAATTAATTAATTTAACAAATAAATTATTGCAGATCCACTGGTTTAGTATTTTTAACAGTTTTATGATGGTCATATTTTTGGTTGGATTGGTTTCAATGATTCTAATGCGTACTTTACGCAAAGACTATGCGCGGTATAGCAAGGACGAAGAAATTGATGATATGGTAATACTGGTTGAACATTGCCGAATGCAGTTCAGGAAAAATTTTATATTCCATATATTGGTTTTATATTTTTAGGAACGTGACTTGGGTGACGAATATGGCTGGAAACAGGTACATGGAGATGTTTTTCGAACCCCTCCACATGCTTTGTTATTTTCCGCTATGATAGGAGCTGGTTGTCAATTAATTTCCGTAGTTCTCGGAGTCATTATATTTGCGATCGTCGGTGAACTATATACAGAGTGAGTATTATGTAACTTAAATAACGCCAATGTAAAATATTATAATTACCGATTTTAGATGTCTTCAAAAATTAGTTTTATTTACAAACAAATTTTATAATCACACAATAAAATTTTATTTTTTCTTGTAATCTACATTTAAAGACGTGGATCAATGCTATCCACTGCCATATTTGTGTATGCAGCAACATCCCCCGTCAACGGTTACTTCGGTGGCTCGCTATATGCTCGACTAGGCGGCAGAATGTGGATACGCCAAATGATTGTCTCTGCATTTATGGTGCCTGCATTTGTTTGTGGAACTGCGTTTTTCATCAATTTTATTGCAATTGGCTATCATGCATCGCGCGCTATACCTTTTGGAACAATGATTGCGGTTACATGTATATGCATTTTCGTTGTTTTGCCATTAACACTAGCTGGCACTGTGGTGGGGCGCAATTTAGATGGACAGCCAGACCATCCCTGCCGAGTTAATGCAGTGCCTCGCCCAATACCAGAGAAAAAGTGGTTTATGGAACCGGCGATTATTATCCTCCTTGGGGGTGTATTACCCTTTGGATCGATCTTTATAGAAATGTAAATATAATCCCTTTGTGAAATAATCCAACTAACGACCTGTAATGCATGGTTTCATTATTATCATATATACACTGCCGGAATAAAGTATAGGCACAGCAAATTTTTCACAATATATGCAACAATTTTTATTCTAATATTTTTCCGCCAATTTTGTATAAAAATATGGTTCATTCAAAAACAAAAACATAAAAATAAAATTCCTAAACTTTGTGCAAAACTCGCGAAAACTCAGCAAATGTTCACCAAAATTCTCAACTTTTTAATCGGATTTTTTAGAATTTTTTTGAGTATGCAGTTTTCTAGCCCATTCAATTCTAGTAAGACAATGCAAGCTCGGAGTTAGTCAAAAACTGCGTTGATTTTTGAGATTTTTTTTTTTGTTGAAGGGGTTCTGCATTTTTTCCATATAAAGTATTTTCGAAAAAAATTTTTTGTATGGAAGAGACTGCCTGAAAAAAAAATTCCAAAAATTAACGGTAATTCCTAGATACTTAAAACTTGCACTTCATTATAATAAAATTGACGCGGCTACAAATGTGCATATCCAAAAAAATTCTAAACAATCTGACTAAAAAGTATAAATTTTTCATGAATTTGCTGAGTTTTCGCGAGTTTTGCACAAAGTCTAGGAATTATATTTTTATGTTTTTTTGTTGTAGAATTGACTATATTTTCAAACGAAATTAGCGGAAAAATATTAGAATGAAAATTGTTGCATATATTGTGAAAAAATTGCTGTGCCAATACTTTGTTCCGGCAGTGTATATATAAGCGTATACTTTTATTTTTACCAGGTACCAAAAATAACTGTTATCTCAAATTTACAAATTGAAAACGTTGCCCGAATTCTGAAATTTAGTGAAAGCTGAAAAAAGTTATTAGATGAAAAATATTTTTTATTTCACTGATGGAGTTATAACCCACGTTGTTTGATAAAAGTTATTGCCTAACGCTTATTTATTTTTTACGTTGCTTGATCGCAGTTATTATCCAAACTTAATTTTTTTACGTTGTCTGATAAGAATTTACTAAAACTGAGATGAAGAAGATAAAGATGATGAAAATGAAAGAGGAGGAGTAAAATAACTGTTATCAGACAACGTAAAAGTAAGCATTGGGAAATAACTGTTATCAAGCAACTCAAAAAATAAACGTTGGGAAATAACTGTTATTGGCGACGGAAAACATATTTCTCCCGCATTACAGTTATCAGGCAATGCAAAAAGTAAACGAATAACTAACTAATAACTGCTATGTCCCTGATTTTTATACATTACACGTTTCCGGAATTATTAATTTTTCTCATTATTATTATTATTAAAGTTTCTCATGTATTTTCCTTATTTTATTTTCAGGTACTTCATTTTCACATCATTTTGGGCCTATAAAATCTACTATGTTTATGGTTTTATGCTGTTAGTGTTTACCATATTAATGATTGTAACGGTGTGTGTGACTATTGTCTGCACTTACTTCCTTTTAAACGCAGAGGATTACCGGTGGCAATGGACAAGTTTTATGTCTGCCGCATCCACTGCTATATACGTGTACGCGTATTCATTCTACTATTTCTTCTTTAAAACAAAGTAAGTTTTTGATTGACTTAAATTCATATGTAGGTACTTGTCTTGCAACAGATGCGTTTCTTATTTTTATTTTCAGAATGTATGGCCTGTTCCAAACAGCCTTTTATTTTGGCTATATGGCATTGTTTAGTGGAGCTCTCGGAATTATATGTGGTACCGTCGGGTATTTAGGCACAAGCGTATTTGTACGAAAAATTTACTCTAATGTTAAAATAGACTAGATTTCATATATATATAGATTGGTTCAATTTATTTTTTATCGGACTAATTAAATATTAACGCTTCTTTAGTTCAAGCTTGAATAATTTATTATTACCAATTTTTCAATGCAGAAATCTCGCCGCCAGTTAAAATATACGTAAGCAATATGAAGTATGTATATGGTAAATTGGAACAAATTAAATGGCATTCGTATATTGTAAATTCCAGATTAGCCAGCAGACATAATTTATTAGATAAATACGTATGTGTTTATATATATTTTTTTTTTGGTATCAATTAAGCAGTAACAATTATTTACACCTTTTTCCAAAACGTTAGACCTAGCCAGAGTTATAAAAATTGTTCTAGGTGATGTATGCCAAGCATAAATGTAACAGCGACCGTAAGCTATGGTAGAAATAGGGTCTTAAATACAAGAAAGAACAGTTCTTTAGTTTTGATATATCACGCCCTAAAAAAATGGGGTCATACGCAAAATTACCAATTTCATACACCACGCACAGACTAAGCTCTGAAAAGCGCAAACAATCATAAAAAATTACTATTTAATCTTGTATTATATATTAATAATTTTGAAATAAAACAGTACCTACAGACAGTTAGACCTTTGTAAACTTTAGCTTAAATTTTTTTAATATTTTTCGAACTACATACTTATTTTCCGTAAATAACCAGTTTTGAGCATTTTGCCCAGGGTAAACTTGAAATTAATTTTTTTCTTTTTTCAAGAAATGTATGCATATATATATTTTAAGTGATCTAATAGAATTTCTATGGAAAATAAATTAATACCTATTTGCCGTTCACATTTGTGTTGTGTTTGGCCGAGCTTCTCCAAATTGTAGTTTACGTTTTACTGTTGGGACAAACGAGAAATTATTTTTTTAGGAGAAGTTGTTTTCATTGGAGTACTCTTGGAAGTTTGTCATTGTCTACCGGGTGGTGGCTGCTGTTAGACAAAAAAAAAGTTCCCCCTGAGAAAAAAAATAAGGGCAACTATATATGGCTAACAAATATTATATATCTCGCATCTCAATTTCGGATAAAACATCAAAATGGTAAAAAAAAATTACAGTAAGACGTATCACGAAAAAAAGTTAACGTGTGTCAGTTTTATTTGAATACTTATGTCGAGTAAAAATTTAGGGTGTAATTTTTTTTATGCACCCGCTAAGTATCGGATATAAAATAAGAAAGTTGTAGCAAAATTTTTTTACACCCAAAATTTTCTCGGCATAATTGCTTAAATAAAACTGAAACGCTAAACTTTTTTTCTTTCATATGTCGTGATACGGCTTAATTACAGTAAAAGCCCGTCCACATAGAACTTCGGCGTTGCGTTGGCGTTGGCGTCGCTTCAACAGCAGACTATGAATACATGAATTCAAATGCAGCCGTCCGCATAGCCAAAATTCGACAACGCTCACGCCAACACAAAGCAAAAAGATGGCCAACTCTCAACTTTTCGCGTGTGTCGCTCGTCAGCTGTTGCAAATAAATAAAATTATGTGAAATATCTTTCCTTTTTAATCAAGTGCGGGCAAGAAATACCGTTCTTAGTGTAGTATAAGCTGGGCTCGAATCGTCACATACGAGATCGTATTACTCGTCACGTAAAAACACAGTTTTCGGATTATGACATACGTGAACGTACTTCTTACCCCATTTAGCTTATACGACTGGCGGTATCACGTCATTTTCTTTCGTATGCTTCCGATTCCTGCTAAATAGAATGTGAGGAAAGCAAAACGAAGCAAAATCATGGACAACTCTCAACTTTTGCGCGCTTTGGCAATCAGTTGTTTACATGTATATTTTCTCGTGCGCTGGAATTTATATTTAAAGACAAAAATACGGTTAATATGAATTGTTATTGCTAGCATTATTGAGTATTATAATATTGTTAACTATTTAACGCAGGTCAAATATGGAGAAAATGGAGAACGCAGAAACTGTCAAAGCGTTTATTGTAGCACACCTTCAACGCTTCACACTTTGTTAAAGTTCCATCTATCAAGCAAAGCGAGGAAAGTCGAGTGTAAACGGCCCTTTAAGTGCTGGGCAACTGTGAACGAAAGGAGGCATATATGTTAAAGAAATCGACTTTATAATTTTATCGATAAGTTATTATCTGTGTTGACCGTGTTCAAGCGGGAAATTGGGTGATCGCGCTGGCAAATATATTAAATATACAAACAAAAGCTTTTTTAAATACAAAAATTAGGACAAACTGGACATTTAAATAAGATTTTAACTAAAATGGAAGAAAGTGTGGCTGTCAACAGCATGCCAAATGAATTAGAATATAGCAAAAATTTTAAGGTAAGCCAAGTTTATCATTTCGATCATGTTAACAAATGCTGTGATAAAAATATTAATTGAGATTTGAGATATACCATAACCCTTGCCGTCGTTCTTTAATATCATCCCATTTGTAAAAAAACAGAGTAGACGGCACAAAACAATAGGACATTTTTGAAATGTGTACGTATGTACATACATATGTATGTAATTATTATTGAATCATGGTACATGCATACGTACATAAAATTCAAAAATGTTTTACTTGAAGCTGTGCTCTGTAGTTCATTGGATGATTTATTAATAAGTAGATAGTAATTTCAATAACGCTTGATTTGAATTAATCCAATTCAAAGGATTTGAAACACGATGTTCTAATAAACAGCACTGAAATGGATCGAAGTAATATATTTGACACGAATGATATCGCCCCCAGCGAAAGTTGCAATGAAACTGTCAAAGGTAATGGATGCGATGATCCAATAAACAACTCTAAAATGGATCGGAGTAATATATCTGACACGGATGAAATGGCCCCCAGCGAAAGTTGCAATGAAACTTTCAAAGGTAATGTATGCGGTGATCTAATAAACAATACTGAAATTGATCGAACTAATACTATTCTGACACAGATCATATCGCCGCCAGCGAAAGTTGCAATGAAACTGTTAAAGGTAATGGATGCGATGATTCAATAAACAACACTGAAATGGATCGAAGTAATATATCTGACACGGATGATATCGCCCCCAGCGAAAGTTGCAATGAAACTGCGGAAAGTAATGGAGATGAGAGCAATCTTGGAAAAGGTTTAAGTACTGATGGAAAACGTAATGATGTAAGTTTGGTTACACGTAAAATTTATTTAAATAATGGCATTTACTTTCCAGCGATCCACACATAAAGATCTACAAACGTTGCAAAGTCAACAACAGCGTTTGCAAAGAGAAGCTCAGTTTAGGTAAGATCGGCGGAATAATTTTTGGTTTAACATTCAAAATTATATAAAAATTATAGCATTCCGTATCATAAGCCAAAAAAATATACATTGCAAGAGTTTCTAAGTCGTCGCACAATAATGAAACCTTCCGAAGTCAGCGATGAAAATTGTTCTGCAGAATCCTTTGGAAAGTCGAGAAGTTTAAAAATGTCAAGAGAAGAGTTGGCAGTTTATTCGTAAGTATTACGGGATTAACAAATTGCAATTTGTACAATTGGTAAGTGTGCAAATTAAAGAGATGCCTGCATGCGTTCTATATTATAAAAATAATAATTCGCAGTATTGAGGTATGCACATATACATATGTATGTATTTATCAAAAATTTGAAATGAACTGCAAATTTATAAATATTCATATTCGAAAATTTATTTTATTTTTTCAATCGGTTCAGTAAATTAATGGAGGATAGAGCCAAAGAGGCATCTGAATTTTTCAAACCTGAAGACGTTGATAACTCAAAAGAAACTGCAAGTAAAAATGACGAAAGCTATAATACAACGGAAACAATGCATGGGGACTCCAATATTCAAGTTGAAGATATAAAGCCAGAAACCGACAATGAAGAATGCGTGGACAAATGCGTATCTAATGTTATAATAACTGAAGTTGTAGAGCTTCCAAGATTGGATCTAAAAGACGTAACTACGGGCTTAAACCTGAAAGATATTGTCAACCAACCAGTACTAGCCAAAGAAGTGAATTCCTTTTCATTGAATTCAAATGCAGGTATATCAGATATTTTCAAGGTAAGTCCTACTTTGAAAGACGACGTAGATATCACATTCGAAATGTTATCGAACGAGAAGGAAGCTCCTAAAGCAATTAGCAGGGCTAATAGTCTGCTGGAAAGGCTAATGAAAACTAATCGTCCTCAAAGACCAAAAAATACGGAATCTAATGGGTGAGTAGTTAATTACTGCATATACAAGTAAAAATACATATATGTATCTAAACACTGTTTTGCTAAAGGATTCTCACTCATAAAGGCAATTCAAAAGCACTTATCGATGAGGCAGATGCTTCTTTGCATAAAAAACCAGGAGAAACATTTTTAAGGCTAAAGGACAATTTGAAAACCATCATTATGGAAAAACGACGAGAAGAGTTGAAGAAGCGGCAAGAGGAAGATAACGCTAAAAAGGCACTACTTGACACAGATGATGAAGACGAGGAAGAAATAGACGATTCTTTAGAGTTCGATGAGAAATCATTGGTAAGGTTTTTGTTCATATTCGTATATTATACAATGTATTGAATTGCGATGTTTTAGTCTGAAAGCGCAGAAAACTCTGATTACGCATCTGATCGCGAATCTACGAATCATATTGAAGGTGAAATTGATGAAGAAGAAATATCTTTAGCTCAAAAACCTTTATCGGCACCAGAAGAAGAGGAAGAAGATTACGACGAAAAAGAAGGAAAAATCAAGCGGCGAATAGAGTTCCCCAGCGATGATTCTGACTTGTCGCAACACCATAGCCCGCCCACAATAAGTCAAGTACCTGAAACACAAATAGGGAACAGAGAAGAGGAAACGGACCAATTAATAAATTTATGTTCGGGTACTTTTGAAACCCAGCCTGTTGCACCAGCAGAAGACAAAATCTACAGTAAAATTGTTTCATCAAGTGAAGATGAAGATTTTTCTAGTTCGAATAAACCAAGAACCAAAAAATTTACAAAAAAAGTTATAAAAAAATCAAATATGAAATTAGGGTTTTCTGATGATGAAGATGATGAGTCCGATGATGAAGCTGACAAAGCTGAGCAGGCGGGCGAAGAGGAGGAAGATATCTTAGCCGAAGATGATATGCCCGCCACTTATATTGATTATGATTCAGAAGAAAATGAAATAACTGTGGAATTGACCAAGCAAGATCGTGTAGACCAGGCTGAGAATTTCTTCGAAAAGGAAGCAGAACTATCGGAATCTGAATGGGGAAGCGCTGACGAGGACGAAAAAAATTTGGATCAGTACGACATTGAATTAGGCGACGAAGACGAATTCGACAAAGAGGAAATCAGAGCTCAATTGGGAAAAATACACGCGTAAGTAGTCGTTTTAAATTAATGATAATCGTTTATATGAGTTATATTTAGCAAGAATAAATATTTTATTTCCCATCGCACACTTTTCAGGCGTAAAATGTTGGACGAAGATATTCGACAAGTAAATAAATTACAAGAAATGCTCTTTGAAGACGAAGAAGATAATTCCGCTAAACGAGAACGTAAATTTAGGTGGAAAAATTTTGACACTGCTTTCAAACTTGAAACAAATGCAAACCAGTATATGGATTCCAAACCCGAAGAAGGCAGTGACGATGAAAACGAGCATTTATGGAGAAAAATACGTTTCGAACGAGAGCAAGCAATAAAAAATAGTACTTTAAATGAGGTAGTACGTAATATTTAATCTCAACTATAGAATAAATATAAAAATTGCTTTCTAGATTTCCATAGAAGCAAATACATCAGTTGCTACTCCCAAGACTTGCGACATTAAAAACATAACAATCGTGACTATGTCTAAATCTAGAATTGAAGGAGTGGAAGAAAAAGAGAAATCACCGTTTTTAATATCAAAAGAGCTTATCAAAGTTGAAAGCGCAAAGGCGAGAAGCTCATTTCTATTACGGAATAAAACGGCATTAACAAAAACAATTTGTTCAGTTAAAAACAGTAGCACTGATGTAAATACGTCACCAGATAAAATTGGTGTTAAAACAATAAATCCTAGCAAATTTGTGTTCACAACATTAACACTGGAAGAACATGAGGTAAAATTTCATATTCGATAGGCATGAACTTATTTTAATGCAATTGTTCTCTATTTATATAGACGTTAAAAAGAAAGGCTGATGACAAAAATGATGGTGTTGATATGAGAATAATTAAAAGGCCCAAAAACCAAACGACAAAGAGTGAATATTTGATAGATAAGCTATTGTAATTTCTAATTTTATTCTTAATATTGTTTAAATTAAGGTTAATTTTAGAAAATAATAAAAATTTTGACTGCTATAACAAATTACATTTTTTTGGTGAATTATTCCCATTCAGTCAATAAAGTTTAGGTACAGCGATTTTTTACAATACGGGCAACCATTTTTTTAAATATTATGGTTAATTTGACGACAAAACCCCAAAAATCAGAGTTCCAAACCTGCAAAATTAAAGAAAATTCTGCAAATTTTCATTCAAATGTAGCGACTTTTATTTACTCTCTTTAGAAAAAAGTTGGGTACGTAGTTCTTCTTTAGCCCATGATTTTTAGAAAATTTTTTTTTTGAAGGGGTAGCTGATTTTCGTAATTTTTTTTTTTTTATATGGACAACTAATAAAAAGAATTCCTCAAAAATCAATGGTAAGTCCTAGCTTCCTCAGACTTGCACCTTATTGTACTCAAATTGAATGGGCTAAAAACCGCAATCTAAAGATTGTAAATAAAAAGTGTAATATTTGAATGAAAATTTGCAAAATTTTGTTAAATTTTGCACAAGGTTTGGAATTCTGATTTTTTCGGGTTTTTGCTGTAGAGCTAACCATATTTTTAATAAAAAAAATAGAGAAAAATAAAATATTAAATAAACAGTTGCCCGTATTGCAAGAAACTCTCTGTAGCTAAACTTTATTGATTGACTGATATTTAATTGTACAATTTTATTGCATTCATTTACTTTGCTTAATGGAAAAAATTGTTGGTGTTACGGAGTGTGAGTGACAAACATCGTTTAGAAATCGGATTTTTATGTGTTTTATTTGAGTGGTTTTCGATTGTCGCGTTAAAAAAAAATCGAAATTATTGGATGTGTAGTGTGAAACGAGAATAAAGCTTTAAAGCTGTAATTCTCTGCTCTGAAAAACATGCCGGTCCATTTTACAAAACCTTGCAAATATGGCAACGATATAAGCTCACGAAGCGCTTGGAAGATTTTATAACATGATGTGCAGACGTAACGAATTTTCTTTGGCTAGCCGCAACCAATGCATATTGAAAAAAAAGTAGCACTAGAGTAAAACTATTTACGTGTATTTGGCCAAAATCGCTTAGGCGGTTACAGCGCCAAATAAGAAGATATATATATACGGCTAACACCACCTTGTGCGAATTCGTCTTGGGGGTAGCCGTAGTACAAAAAACAATAATTTACATAGCTTTTGCTTTTGGTAAACAAATGTCATCTTTGGCAAACATGCATATACTTTTTAAAGGTCAAAGTTCAATTTAAGCAATTTTTGAAATCAAAATTTCTCAAAATAAATACATGAATTTAAAAAATGTTTGTTTTGTCAAGGTATATAACATTTCTTGGACATATACCCCGCCCCGTTTTTTTGCGCAGAACACCTTTCCACGATTTTTTGTAAAAACTTTACAAGGCAAGACAAAGTATGTATTTCAAAAACTGGGAAAATTTCATAAAGGGAATTAAATTCTAAGAAATCACATCAAAATTTTTAAAATCGGTGTAAGGGAATTTGGGATATCTTACTGTTTTTGTTTTTTTAACTTTGGCCTTTAATAACTGGAAGTTGAATTGATTTAAGTACAATTTGGATAGTAGAAATCGCAAATAGCATGCTATATTTAAATCTATTTGGTATGGCAATACCCCGCAAATGCATTCGTGTATAGTTGAATAACACGCATGTGGCTTTTGGTCGCACTTTTTGTCGGAACAATAGAAGAAAATATACTGGAAGCAAAACAGGCCGCGGCCGAGCTTTTTAATATTCTGTAAATTCACAAAAGCGGGTCTTTATTGTCGGTGTTGAAAACTAATTGCTTTGTTTTGTATCTAGCGATTCAATGGGATATATTGCGAACAAGTGATATTTAATGAAATCCCTCAAAAGTGTTATCGAGAGAAAATTTTGATAAAACGTGAAAAAATTGCGTATACAGAGGAGCTAACAAATGCTAAAGGTCTACTTGCGGCAGAAAAAATCACAATATATACTGAAATTCAGAAAAGCTTTTATGTTACTATAATTGCAATAGAAAATTTCGATTAACCGTGTGTAAATTGGGATTCCGCCACTAATCTACATCGCATCCATGCCCGTTTCAATTGTGTGTGAACCAGTGCCGAATGTTAGCGCAGTTTTGCGGGAATCACTGGGGAATGGCTATTCCAGCAACGGCCGGAGTATGTGTAAAAGTGGAGGTGTGGGCGACAGCTACATTAACGACGACGATGGTTGCTTGCAAACAAAACTGGCGGTTACAGCAAAACGTGTACTTCTATCGAAAATAGAATATGAGGAGGTAACAAACTACAGCCAATCTGTATTAGGCGCACTAAAATCAAAATATGATATCCTGAAAGCCAGTACACCTAATAAAAATTTAAGCTATGATTACCTTTCACTTGGAAAATGTTCAAGTAATACAGAGCGGAATGGTGAGTAGCACATGTATTTGAGTCTGATATGAATTCGAGAAAATATTGATTAGTAATAAAAACTTAAACGATTGATTTGTATTGTGTACATGTGTATGTACAGTAGTACACCGTGTAAATGGTCAGCAAATAGTGAAAGAAACCAAAATTGCAGAGGAAATGTTTCTGCCTGTAAAAAAAAACAAATTATATACATATGTATATGTACATATGTCAAACTCTTATCATGTAGCAATTTTCGTTAATTCATAGAGAAGTTTTCACTGCATACATATAGGTATGTACATGTACACCTGCGTTCAACTACAGCTGTGAACAGCGGTTCAATTTACACAGCGAACGAGAGCACAAAGCGTGTTGCCCGAGCACGAGCAACTACCGGTTGCCCCTCTCCTTTCCTCGTCGCGCTCTCTCCTACAAACGTCGAGTTGCGGCAACAAAAATCGCCGTGTGTAAATGAAACGAGCAACACCAAAAGGGAATGTGAAAAATCGCGTCGACAAAAGTTTCCGTGTATAAACGCAGGGGCACCGAGTTGCTCGTGCTCGGGCAACACGCTTTGTGCTCTCGTTCGTCTGGGTAAATTGAACCGCTGATTGAATGAGCACTTAGAGACCAAATTCAAAATGATATTGTTTGCAAATCATGTTTATTTTTTTTTAATAATTTTCATTTAAAATATAGTTCAATCTGTAACAAAAACCACAATAATAAAAGTTTTAAAAATTGCAAAAAAAAATCAAACTTCAAAAAATTGTCAAATTTTCAAATTCTTATTCAGGACATTTAGAAAATGTCCCTCCACAAAAGAAATTCTAAAACATCAACGGTAATTTTTAACGACTTGAGACTTGCACTTTGTTAGACTACAATTGAATTGGGCACAGAACTGCATATCCGAAAATTTTCTTAATACATATTTTGATCAAAATTTGGAAATTTTGATCACAATTTTTTAAGTTTAATTATTTTTTTTTTTGCATTTTTGCAAGGTTTGAAACTTTTATTATTGTGAAATTAAATTAATTCTTAAAAATTAAAAAATAAACATAATTTGCAAACAATATCATTTTGAATTTCGTTTCTAATTAGTTGAACGCAAGTGTATGTATGCATACAGATAAACCCTATCTTGGTTTAAAATATTTAGTTAAATTTAATCATTTTATTATTGCATTTTAAAGTCGGTTCACTTTAGTTTTCTTTTATTGAAAACAAATTTTAAAAAATGCATTGAAATACTAAACATAAGTTTTCAGCTGAGTGGTGAATGGGGCGGAATCCAAAAATAAGACTATGTTTTAATTTTTTTGTTTAATTTTATGCACGTATGTTTGTATGTATGTACTGCATACCCTAATGGTCAACTAATTAAGTTAACGTGATATTTTTTACCGGCATTACTCATTTGTCAAGGAGACAAAACTTGTTTATTATACTTTTATGAAAGTCTAGCTCATTATATAACAATTACCATATAAATCCACATTTTAAATTTTGTACAAAAATTATTAAAATTCAACAAATTTTTGACGAAATTTCAAGCTTCAACTTCATTCAAAAATTTTGGAAAAGTTTTAGGTATGCAGCTTTATTGGTCAATAGATTTTAAAAGAATAAAGTTTCAAGTGGGTAAGAAATCGCGTTGATTTTTAATAATTTGTTTGTTAACGCTGTTGTGCATTTTATTCCATATAAAAAAGCAGCTAGAAATTTGTTGAATTTTTGTAAAGTTTGTCAATGCTTGAAATAGGGATTTAGCATATGGTGGTTGTTATATAAAGAATCAAAATAACACTAACTCAATTAGTTGACCACAAGTGTATGTCCATACATACATACATATGTACATATACCCATATTCGAAAACTCCACGTGTATATGTCGCATATTTTCTCGTCTATGCTAAAATAAAATATAAAAGATCTTCGTACAACAAACACTGCCAAATTCAAATTTAATGGTTGAATTATTTATGTTTCATTTCCTACAGATGTTGCTAGCAACCTAGGTCTTTCAAATAATGGTTCAAATGCCAATGCATCGACTTCTAAGCGTCACAATCCAAACGAACTCCCACAGCCAAAGCGAGTACTGTATCCACGAGAAAATATTATAATTGGATGGAAAAATTCCGTACGCAAATGGCAAGTCGGTGTTGGTATGATGAATGTTGGAAATACGTGCTATTTAAATTCAACATTGCAAGCACTATTTCATGTGCCCTCCTTGGCAAATTGGCTAATGTCCGAAGCAAAACATCTGGGCGAATGTGAATCGCCCGATAATTGTATAATTTGTGCAATGGTCAAAACATTAGAAGCGTCGCAAGGCAATCAGTCGGCAATTCGGCCCTATCTGGTTTACTCAAAACTAAAATTTATATGCAAACATCTACTTATGGGCAGGCAAGAGGACGCACATGAATTTCTTAGATATTTGGTCGAGGCGATGGAGAAGTCTTACCTCACACGCTTTCGTAACTACAAAGAGTTTGATCAGTACAGTAAGGAAACAACGCCGCTTAATCAAATTCTTGGTGGCTACTTAAAATCAGCGGTGCGGTGTTTGTCATGTGGACATGTATCAGTAACATTTCAGCATTTCCAAGATTTGCTATTAGATATTAGAAAGGCAGATACTGTTGAGGAGGCTCTAGATGGTTATTTTTCCAGAGAACGGCTTGAAGACATGGGTTATAAATGCGAATCGTGCAAAAAGAAGGTACGTAAAACATTTCAAATTATTATATTAGTTGCAGTTAAAGTCGAGAGCATAAAAAATGTTTTCTAGTTTGTAACAATTTTGGGCACACTTATTTTAGAATACGATGTTTATGTACATATGTGACTATATATTACTGTTGATAACAGAAATAATGGTTCTATAGTAGTTGAGTGCAATCGAAGTTTCATTTTAGATCAGAGTTTTAGACTTTCTAAATCCCCTTGTCTTCTCCGGTAATTAAATCCTTTAATTAAAAAATGTGTTTATACCTTATTTAATGTCATGATCTTATTTCTCGCTTTTGTAGGTATCTGCAACCAAACAGTTCTCATTAGAACGCGCACCGATTGTACTATGCATACAGCTGAAGCGATTTTCGGTTATGGGTACCAAACTTAACAAACAAATCACAATCAAACCGCGGATAGATTTATCAAAATTCATTTCCCGGAAAGAAAGCGGCGAACAATTAACCTATAAATTAGTTGCAATGGTAACCCATTTGGGCGCCTCACAGCATTGTGGACATTATACAGCTATAGGTTTGACGGAATCGGGCTCTTATTACAATTACGATGACAGTTACGTTCGCCCTGTTTCTGTGCAAAATGTTTGCAATACTAACGCCTATATAATTTTTTACGAAATTGAAAAGTCTCAACGTTCATTTAGCAGTATTGACACGGGCAGCATAAATGACTCTGTCAAAGAAAACGCTATAAAACAAAACGGCTATGCAAGAGCCGAGAACATTTTTCCAAGTCAGTTATGTAGTTCGACTAACTCGCAATATAGATTTGACAGTAATTTATTAACGGGAGGTATTAAATCATTACCATCTCATTATGTAAACAAACCGTCCACGAGTAATGGTTCCATATCGAATAAAGTAATTTCAAACCGCCAGATTCATTACAAGAACCAAACAATCAGCACACCTCTAAAATCGAATACTGCACCAGCCATAAAATCACCATTATTTGCTGAAAATAGAAATAGTGCTCAAGTTTCTTTAGAGCAAAACTCAAGAACTTTGTTTAAAAATGATGAAAATCAAAAGATCAACCACTCTAGCTTTGGATTTCGAGAGGCATCTAATAAATTGAACTCGTCTGTTAATGAAAATCAAATCTGTTCATCTATTGAAGCAAAAGGTAATAAGTTTTCAGAGATTTCATCGTCGCATAAAGCAAGTGCAACTCTGCCAAGTATGCCAACTTTATCTGATGTCCAAAATCACAGTGCTATTCAACCCGCCAAGTATGCTTCACTGCCAGTCAGTCCTTTAAAGAGCCTTGTGCCGTATGAATCTGAAACAGATGAAGAATCGACGACCTCGGAAATGAAGGACACACTAATATGTTCGGAGGAGTTGAATAAGAAGAAGAAGGATTTTAAAAGCGCTATCAAACGTCCCATGGAAAGTCCTTTATCAAATACAAATAGTGCAATTGATAGTGTCGTAAAACCTAAAAAACTCGCTTTTGTCAATGATGACGGTTTAAGCTCAAAAACTGATTCTATTCAATTAACCGCTAACAAAAATGATTTCAACAACTCACTCACTGCTACTTCTGAGCACTCTAAAAACAAACTTCAAAAGCATGGAAATAGCCAAGAAAGATCCAACACATATAAATCGGACGAAACCAGTGTGAATGATTCAAAGATTAGACATAAGGTTGATATGATTGATGAAATTTTTAATAAGAAAAAACATGATTGTGACAATGGTGATATAGTCTCTTCTGATGAGTTTATAAATAAGCCACCAGAGGAAACAGAATGTGAAAATATTTTAATTTCATCTCGCCCACCTTTCAAACGATCACATTCTACCCCGCCATCGCCACCAGTTATTAAAACAAAGACTGGCTTGTGGCAAGTTACCACTTTGCAGCCGGTGACAGCATGCATCAGTCCACCAGAGCAAAAGATCGTCAAAAATCCCAAGAACCCTTTTGCCAAGAAACCGATGGATTCATTTAATAAACGGCAAAAACCAAACATGGAAGGCAAGTCTGATAAGGCGCAATTTATTGGAAACGGATACAGATGCAGCAATGTAAACGATAATTCTATATCAGGCTTAATGAAACAATCGCATCGCGGTTATGGAGTCCCGGTGCTCTCATGGAAGGGAGAACAGACTAAATTATCAAAAGAGGTGAGCATTTGAATAATTTTAAGGCTTCATCGGACTATTAGGAACGTGCGTTTTCTAAAACAATACTTTGAAATTATAATAAGTCACGCAATTTAGTAAATACACAATAATAATACATATTTTAATATTTTTATGTTGTGTTTGTTCATTACAAGGTTGAGACCGATGCTCAACAACAGCGGCAACACGACTGGCAAGATGAAGAAGACGCCGAAATTGATCGTGGTCGGCAGAAAAAAGTGAAAAATAAGGATATATCTGCACAATCAGACAACCGAATACCGGGATATAACCCATTTCAAGAGGCGGATAATCAACGGCGATGGAGATCAGGTGGTGCTGCTAACAGACCTTATAGTGGATATGTACGCCAGCAATTTCAACGCAACAAATTCAAATTTCAGCGTTTCAACCCGAAATTCCAGCGAATCACTGCAGTTCCGTATAAGCGAAATAACCACAGATTAAATAACGGTTATGCTCGACGGAATTCATAACATTGTAATAAAATGATTACTCTTACTATAAATATTAATAATTTTTTTGTATAACTTAAGTGACTGCACGAGTAAAATAGATAAATAACTAACATAACTGAAATTATCCATTAGCAGAGGCGCAGCAAAACCTATTTATTAAGTAAAAATAACGAACATTAAAGGCACGCAGTGCAGTGGATATATAATATGTAATGTAAGCGAGAATGTATGTAATAGTGTAAGGAAAAATTGCATTACATATTTACTTAAAACATAAAAATTGTTTTCGGAATTCTTCAAATTACTGTTCCACCATTTCGGATACCCATTTATAATTTTACTTCATATTAAACAATAGTAATTTATGTACATGAAATAACAGAAGTTCGCAAGTTTAGCTTGAACTGTGAACAAAAGACTTTAAATAAACATACATAAATACATGTAACATAGATCAATAAAATAATTTTTTAAGGTTTCAATTAAATTAAAACATCAATATTTTAATATTGAATAAATCTATAATATAGCATTACTTGCGAGTAGTTTTATAATATATGTACTACATGATCGATATCTTGGTGACTGTCAAATTTCTGCGTGACAAAAGTTCATATTTAAACATCGCTCATTTACTAAAAGGCTATCAAATCTCAAACAGCGGCAGTCATAAATATCGATTAAATCAAGGGAAACCTGACGAATCGCAACGTACCGTGCGGTTGAGACTTCAAACTTAACGCGGTGTTTTTGAAATGACTCAGTAGCCAGTAGCCCTAGGTAATACGAGTTTTAGTATATGGTTGCCCATCGGCTATCAGTTGCCGTACAAAATAGGGTCATTAACCGTTACCGGATAAGTTTGGACCACGTGTACCGATTTCGACCAATTTTGTCGGAAAGGTTAAGGGTGGCCCCATACTGTTGTTGTTGTAGCGGCTACAATAACCCCGCCCAGATCGGCTGATATCTCAGTTGTTGTAGTCAAGTTCCACTAACGGCAGCCCTAGGAAACGTGCAGCCTCTACCGGGTCGGTCCACAAGGACAAAGCCCTTAGGGTTGTCGTGTTTTCCGGGCATGCGAAGAGATGTTTCGAGCCATGTGGGTTCTCGCCGCATGCCGGATACTCATTTAGCACATCCGCATTCAGTCTACTCAGGTATGAGTTTAACCTGCTGCAGTAGCCAGAGCGAAGTTGGGCTATTGTTGTTCGTGTCTCCCGAGGCAGATGAAGCTCGGTCTCATCTATGTCCGGTCGTGGTGTGCCTAGAACGGCATTCACAGGTCTAGAGTCTACATAACTCGAGACTGACCCTGTGAATGCCGTTCAGGGCCAGTCGGTAAGCTGACGGGCACATACTAATTTGGTTTAGTTCCGATCAATGGATCATGAAGAAATAAACGGTACTCCTAAATGTTTATATGAGCATTGGGGTTGTTTGTTTTATTTTTATTTTTTGCTTAAAAATGTATTTCCCTTTTCAATATAAAAATGCATCACATATTTTGTCTTTTTTTTTTTCAAACTTATGTAATATAAAAGGCTCTTTGCACTATTTTCTTCTTCCACGAGCAGCCGGATTTCCTCCTTTAAATCGACTTGACTTGCCTTTGTTTCCCAAAGCACCACCCCCGCTGGGTCCTTTCTTAGAGAACTTTCTCTCGCGCCTACTACTTTTTTGTTGTTTTTTCTTTTCAATACGTACTTTCTGCTTGAAGACTTTACTTTTCTTAAATTCCTTTAATGCTTTCTTTTTCTTTAATCGATCTAACATTTTCTTGCTTCCAATCTTGCCAAGTTCTGTTAATGACTTTTCCTCTTGTTTAGATTTATATTTAACCTCTTTCTTTTTTACTACTTCTCCTGCAGCTTTTAATTCCATTCCAGGAATAGAATCAATATATGGCTCGTTTCCGGACGCATCACTAGCGTTAGAATCTTCATCGACGTCTTCTTCCCGATTCTTTGGCAAAGTGCTTGCTGTTAATTCGATGACATTTATTTGTACCTCATCGTCTTCGTATTCCTTTTCCTTTTCTTCTAACTCGGGATCTATAGATAGCGGCTGGAACGTTTTCTTCATGTGTACCATGCAATTTTTGAGATCATTTCTGATTCTTTTCCGCTCTTCCTTTATACTTTGCTCAAGCTGTTCTTTGGCACGAGCTCGACGCTCATTCTTTCGCTTTCGAAATCCAGATAAAAAGTTTCTGTGACAAAATAACCATATACTTATTTTTGAAATCATCAACCAAGATTTTTTTAATATTTACTTTCTTTTCTCTGGATCAAATATAATTTCCTTTTTCCTCATTTTTGCACGCTTCTCAACAAATTAGAGGTGGGTAACTCAACTCAGAGTTGAGTTATTGAGTTGATTCCTATAAAGAGCGAAATACACAACACAAGCGGCTTGACAAACCAAGCGAAATTTCCCTTTGCTTCAAGCCATTTGTGCTGTCTATGGGGTGTTTGAAGGTTTGACAAACCGCTTGAGGGAAATTTGAGCAAAAATCAAATTTTTTTGATTTTCTGGCCGCCATGTTGACGTTTGATCAAACCGCTTGCGATGTGGATAGTAAAATCGCCTCATTTGCAACTGAAATTTCACCAAGTGAAGACGTAAGGGAGAATAATGGTAGAAAACTAAAATGTTTTACATTGTTAACCGAAAGAAAACTAAAATTCTGTGCTTGAACGACTCTTGTTTGCATGGTCTATGGCAAAATGGGAAAAGTATGTTTGACAAGCCGCTTGTGTGGTGTATTTCGCTCTTAAGTGAATCGGTAACTCAGACTCCCTGTCCAAAAAAAATGTAACTCAGTAACTCAGTTGATGCCGTAGGGCTCACATGAATCAATTGAATCATAGTGGCTCATATTTGTCCATATAACTCTCTCGCTTCGCCACAGTGTTTAGCATGGCAAAGTCTTGCATTTTGTTTTTGCACGAGGCGAATTTATACAAGGTGGTGGCAAGAATACAACAACAACAACCACATGTATTTTGTATTGCGGGTGTTATGTCAAATCTCACAAATTCTTATAATTTCGTTTTTTTTTTAAGTTTTTGTCGAAATATGTATGTATGTAAGATATATAAAGATGTGCATATCAAATCAATTGCCTTTCCAACCATATCCACATTTTGAAATTCGGTACAATAGGTTTCGAAATATAAGCTTTTGAAAATATTGAAAATTCCACCTTTACCCTCCCCCTAGCACCGCCCTATTAATTTGCACACAAAAAAAATTACACCTTTCAAATCAGTAGAAAGGAGCTGACCACGCCCACTTTAAAGTTTTGTTTTATCTCAACGGCCGCTATACCGCATCTATGCCTCAAAACGAGTCTACGATACGAATGAGTGTAACATACAAAGAGTCAAATGAGTTAGTTGAATGAGCTGACTCCTTAAAGTGAGTTGGAGTCATTGAGTCAACTCCTATAAATTTGCTGAGTTACCCACCCTTACAACAAATGTAGTAATAGTTATGTGGTGACTCCAATTCTAAGTATCGTTAATGATAGAGCACGATTTCTGCGGACATAATCGATAGTTATGTAAGTAATTTGCGCAAATAGTTTGAGTAATTTCAAAACATTTTATGGTAATCGCGCATCATTGGGTAAAATCATTAAATTTAGGGCGCTGTTACCGCAGAACTCCAGAGGCAAAACTGACGGCCTACCAACTGTCATTTTGACTGGCAATATGATTGGAAGTTTTTGTGTGTGGTCACTTTGATGTCTTGAAATAAGCATTTGCCGCATGACGCCACAAGACAACATTCTCTCAATTTCGACGTTTAATAATCATGATTCAATAATTAAAGGTTTGCCCATTAGCGACATTCGAGTTTTGACACACCCTTAACTCCCTAACAAAAGGTTGCACACACACACCCACACACTAAGCGAGCCGATTTTGTCAGGAGGGGGCGAGAAAACTGTTTCTGAGCAAACATTTTATTATTGAATCATGCTGAATAATTTCATAAAACGTAATGATACATAATCCAATATGGAACAGATTCTTATTTTGATTTAATATCAAAATTTCACCTATGTTACCACCAGCACGCTTTCTTTCAAATGCAAATATGGCTGTCAAGCAATAAGCGCCGACATATGTTGCAGCCCATCACAACAGTGTTTTCCAGTGGAGACAAGGACTTAGGTCGGTGTCAAGGCGCATCAATACAAGGTGGTGTTGCATGAACCAAAAATACAAGATCGCGGTAAAAACGCGACGCTGTATTTGTAACTGGTTTTGAGAAAAAAGCTTGCGAAAGCGGGTTCGTCAGCTGAGCGTTTGTTTACATCAATATTTTACACTTTTATTTAAGTAAAGAAGAGGTAATTCAACATGACAACACATTTTAATGCATCATTTTACCTAAATTGTGCGTTTATAGTGGCTGACAATAACTTTGACTAATTTTGGTTTTCGTTGTTTTCTTCGCTCTGTTTACTTTTCCCTCGTTTTCCAGTGAAACAAGATGGCGTAGAACTCGCTCAAAAATCGACTTTTTTTACTCTTGTTCTTACGCGATCTTGNAAATTGTGCGTTTATAGTGGCTGACAATAACTTTGACTAATTTTGGTTTTCGTTGTTTTCTTCGCTCTGTTTACTTTTCCCTCGTTTTCCAGTGAAACAAGATGGCGTAGAACTCGCTCAAAAATCGACTTTTTTCACTCTTGTTCTTACGCGATCTTGTGTCTTTGTTGTTGTTGTTATAGCGGCTACTAAGCCCCGTTCGGGGCGGTTCATCCATCAACGTTGTCGTCAATTTCAGCTAGGGGGAGGCCCAGGAAGTGTGCTACTTGCACAGGGGCTGTAAATAGGGACAGGGGCGTTAGCTGAGTGGTGTTCTCAGGGCATGTGAAGAGGTGCCGGGAGTCATGTGGCGACTCTCCACATGCCGGGCATTGGTTGGGCACATCCTCGTTGATTCTGCTCAAGTAGGAGTTGAGCCTGCTGCAATAGCCAGAGCGAAGTTGGGCTATTGTAGTGCGGGTCTGCCGAGGCAGACAAAGTTCTGCCCCGTCCCCGTCCGGTGGTTGTGTGCCTAGAACGGCATTCACAGGGCGGGAGTCTACATAACTTGAGACTGATTCCCTGAGAATGCCGTTCAGGGCCTGTCGGTAGGTTGACGGGTCCAGAGGTTGTTTGATAAACCTCTGGACTTCGTCGGTCAGTTCGTAAAGATGCCTCCTGACGTGCCGTGGCGAGGGCTCTTCCGCGAGCAGTTGTCCGCTGGAATGGCCACGTCTGTGGCTCCCAGCAAGGAACTGCTTGCAGAGCATTATGTTATGCTCCTTTACTGGGAGCATCTGGGCCTCCTCATGAAGGTGGTGTTGAGGCGTTATCAGGAGGCATTCTGTCGCAGTTGGTAATGCCGTGTTTTTTGGCAGGTCTGTAGCTTCATCCACTGCATCCTGCTAGTCCCCGGCGACCATACGGGCGCTGCGTAGTTTAGAACCGGCCGGCCAATTGCCTTGTATGTTGCCAACAACGTTTCTTTATTTTTGCCCCAAGTGCTGCCGGCCAGCGACTTGAGGACATTGTTGCGGTTGTATGTGCCGAGAAGGAGAGCAGACTGTCGAAGGTAACTCCGAGGATTTTCGGGCTATTAACCGTCGGTATTGTTACGCCATCGACATGAATACCCAGTGGCAGTCGGACCTCCTTCGTCCAGGAGGTGAAAAGGGTTGCCGAGGATTTCGCAGGGGATAGGGCAAGGCTCCTTGCAGTGAAGAAGCGAGAAAGTTCGGAGAGGTAACCGTAGCGGGGAAAGGACACCACCCTGTTTTGTCTCTGAAAATTACTGACGAGTGTCGACCACTCAGGTAATTCGCCGACAACCGTTTGAGTTCCTGTGGGAGTGAGGAGGCCGCTATATCTTCTAGTAGCGTTGAATGACTGACAGTGTCGAACGCCTTGGACAGGTCCAACGCTACTAGAATAGTTCTCTCACAGGGGCAGTTTCGGTTTAGGCCACGAGTTATCTGAGTGTTTATGGCGTTAAGTGCTGTTGTTGAGCTATGCACTTTACGGAACCCATGGTGATGCTTCGCTGGGGTCAGGTGGTTCGTAAAGTACGGGAGCAGCAGGGCGTCGAGTGTCTTCGCTACCGGGGAAAGGAGAGTTATCGGGCGATAAGACTCCTTTGTTGGCTGGTTTCCCCGGTTTGAGCAGTGGGACCACTCTCCCCATTTACCAGATGTCTGGAATGACGAGAGTGCCCATAGACAGGTTGAGGACCTCCGTTATGTACGCTACTACCGCAGGGGTTGAATTGCCGTGTAACTTCGTCTCTTGGACCGCAGGCTGGTGGTGGTTTGCCGTGGAGGCGGTCCGGTTCGCACAGCATGGGGCCACGAACGAATGGTCCATTGCCGGTGCGTACACAGGCCCGAGCAGTTACGGAGGTGACTCCACCCGTCAGAGGCATTGCACCTGACCGAGGTGGAGTGTATGCAGTCGTCTCTGGCATACGCAGCAGGTGTAGATTTCTGGCCCTGGGTTTCACTCTATGCCAGCCCTGAGCAGAAGGGTGCGCNTGCAGTCATCTCTGGCATACGCAGCAGGTGTAGATTTCTGACCCTGAATTCGACTTTATGCCAGCCCTGAGCAGAAGGGTGCGGAGAAGGTGTAGCCCTAGGATCGAGCAACGTTTGATGGATTTCGCCGACCTAAACGGGGATAGATCGCCGAAACAACAGCCCTTGGTCGGGTAAAACCCGAGTCATTCCGCCACGTAGAACCGGCTGTTGTGGGAATGACCTTGTGTCTTTCGTTCGTCGTGGTGTTGATTGAACAGCTGATTGGATATTTTTAGGTTTGTTCGTCGAGCAAAAAATTTGTGCGAATTTGTACGAATTATCACGATTTTTGCCCAAATCGCGTTCGTGCAGACCAAAAAATTATCCAACACTCAAAAATTGTGACAGCAAAGTGACAGTTCTCTTGGAGAGAAGTTGCAAATTCTTGCTGGAAAAAATTTTGCCAGCAAGAATTTGCAAACACGAAAAACATGTGGTTGTGGCGCATGGTTGCATTTTGTTTACAATAATAATGAATGAATAAATTAGTTCGTTAAATTTAAAAATTTATAAACACGAGCGATTTTTTTATGAAAAAAGGAAGTAAATAATTGTTGATATAATTAATTTAGATAATGATATGAACTTAATTCGGCTGAAAAAAATGGTATTTGCAATCGGAATGCAATTGCAACCAGAGTCGATTTAAGAAACCCGACAGCTAGTACGATGAAGAAATTGAAATGTATGTTAAAGAAAGTCAGAACAACAAGAAATATACATGTATATCCTGTTTTTGGCCATCCGAAAGAATTTTAAAAATTCTATAAAAATTTTTTATGTTTGAAATGCAACCGTGGACGCCAGCTGGCAGCGAAACTTGCAAATTCCTGCAAATTTGCGTTCGTGCAGAAATTTGCAAGTTTCTCAACATGAGAGAGAATTTGAGAGAATTTTTTCTTACTCTCTGATATTTTGAGTGTTGGATAATTCTTGCTGGATTTTCGACGAACAAACCTTTTGTCTCTACACAGGAGGCGTTGTTTTTGTTTTTGTAACTTAAACGGAAACTCTAGGAAATTGAATTTTAGTTTCACAAATTTTATTTTAAGTATTTAAAGATTGAAATTACATCAGCACGCCATTCACTATTCCTTAAAAGCACCAAGTAAATGCAGGAAACGTATAAACACAAAAAAGCTGATATGCACTTCGACGCTTTATCCAATTTTACCAGGAGAAAAGGTCCGGGCTTTTTCGGGCAGGAAGAAGGCACTTACGGTCCAATACGTTCCAATTTTCGCACTCTATTACCCATTTTGTTGAGTACGGGAATGATTTCTGGGCTATTTTGGGCACCCGCGGGATTCCGCATTGCGTACGGGAAGGAACCTGCTGTTTCTACGATTCGTAGGTTCCAGCCACGTCGGAAAGCAAAGAAAAGAACAAAAGAGAACAAGAAAACTTGAAACGAAAACGAATTGACGGTACGGACGTAACTGTACTCTTCCCCTCTCTTCCCACCTTCTTCGCCATCGAACGAGCAGATTTGAAAGCAGGACTTCACGTGTCTGAAAGCGGACTAGCAAAATCCGAAAACGAAAGAGTTGCAGAATAGGAGTGAATACCTTATACCTTTTTTCATTTAGCTTACTCTTTCAATATATGCATTATTTCATGGGCTTCATCGCCTTCAAAAATATTTTATTTAAAAAACTCACAAGTTGAGATTAGTATATAAAAAACAGGTAGTTATCCCTTTTTCGTTATCTTTACCGTATTGATTTGCGAAATCTTTTAGGAATTACTTGGAAATTAAAAAATGTTTGAGAATTACCTACTTGTGAGTTACAATCCATAATTATAGACCGACGGAGCTAATTTTAGCTTAAAAACGCCACTTATTTCAATTGTTGTAATGCGCCATATTCCCGATTCCATTCAATGTATTGAGCCAAATCATCTTTTGATACACTAGGACGGACACTATGTAACGCAGATTTGAAATCGTCTATATTTATCGGGCGTACCTGGAATAAAAAGGCCAAACAAATTTAGACAAATCCTCCAAAGCTACCCTTTGGCATTTAAAGGGAGTGCGCTAGGTGTTTTACACTTATTAAATTCCACTAATGTATTACGTACCTCATCTTTTACTATATGTGGAATTTGTTCAGCGGGTATTGCACGCAAGGGTTCCATAGATGCTTCGCGACAAAGGATATCCATATCAGCACCAGAGTAACCGACAGTTTGATGTCCAACCTCCTGTATATTGTTTTCGTCCAAATCGTTACTTACAGTTGCAAGTAAATTTTTAAGAATTTGGATTCGTGCTTTCATTTCTGGTAGAGGAATGTACAATCGCCGTGCAAACCGTCTGCGTGCTGCATCATCTAACTCTTGGGGTCTATTAGTAGCGCCTACAATGAGTACACGATCCTCTTCACTTGTAGAAGCACCATCTAATTGAACCAAGAATTCATTCTAACGAAAAAATTTTACATTAACAATTGTCTCTACTCTAAGTAATTTCTAAATTTTCGGGCTTACTTTTAATTTTCGGGAACTATCATGTTCAGATTCTGATCGTTTAGACAAAAGCGAATCAACTTCATCAATAAAAACAACCTGAAATATTACTGAAATAATTTACTCGTTTTAAAATTTTGATGTTCTGCAATTACCGAAGGTTGATGTACTGCCGCCACAGCAAACAATGCCCTAACCATTTTTTCACTTTCGCCAACCCATTTAGATGTCAAAGACGATGCACTAATGCTAAAAAATGTGGACTGTGATTGAGAAGCTATACATTTGCCAATAAGAGTCTTTCCCGTGCCTGGAGGCCCAAATAATAAGATTCCGCGTGGGGGACGTCGCAAGCCTGTAAATATATCCGGCCGTAGTAGTGGGTAAACAACAGCTTCTTTAATAACCGATTTAACATATTCCAGACCAGCGATGTCATCCCAATCTATAAGATATGGTAGAGAGGTTGAGAGACTTTAGATACATTGGCGGTTCAAGTTAAATCCATACCCATCGGTTTATATTTATGCATGATTTCACTTTTGATTAAATCTACCATTTTTGGGTCAATGTTGGCAAGCCGTTCGTCAACTACTTCTGGAGATGATTGGATTGGAGGCGACGGATTGATCGGAGGTGATGAATTTAGTTCTAGGGGGCTGAAGTGTAATGTATTTAAATAAGTATGATCACTCTTATTTGACAAACGTTTACCCTTCTCTTGCAACAGGTAATACAAAACCCGATCTGACTGTTCGTCGAGTCCCTAACATTTTCCTTGTTATGCCATAGTTTAAATAAGGAGGCGCACTTGTTTCTTTCGAATTGCCTGGGCCGTCCGCTGAAGGTTTGATGTTACTTCCATTCTGGTTCTGTAAACCCAAACTATTTGAAATAAAGCTTACATGTATACAATTTTCTAGTTGATACTCTCCCACCTTAAAAGTTTTCGTTAAAAGTATTTCCCGCGCTGTTCGGAACGGATTCCCTTCATTAGGTGATGCTGTTCCATCAGTTTCTTTGCTTTTTAATAAATTGCTATTACTTGTCGATGAGGTGTCAAAATCGCGACACTGTCTTACTTCTTTTGGTTGTTGTAAAAAATTTTCCATAGTACTTCTCGGATTAGAGGGTTTGTCTATATCAATAATGCTTTCGCATTCCATAATTTCGTTGGTGGAAGTGAAACCATTCAAAAACTTTAGATGATAGTCAGTTATTTGTAATGTTTTACAACTCTCGTAAATGCCATGGCAAGGCGGTTCAAAATCAGAATCCTCAAACATATAATTTTCGCATTTACGCGCCGTGGGCTTTGGTAGGTGGACATTTTTTTTCAATAGTGACTTCACAGTTTCCATGCGCTGTTTCCTGTGCTCAAGCAGATGCGTAGAATCCAATCGAGTGTAGTGTCGCTCAAGCAACTCGTAGGTTTCTGTATTAGTTAATTCACTGCAAATTTGTTAATGCTTTATTAATTTATCGTAAAATAACAAATTCATGTTTGATTACTGAATAGGATCTCCCAATAAAATCAGTTGACGGCGCCATGCAGCTGCTTTTTCGCTAGTACTTGATGAAGATGATTCCCAAATATTCTCGTTAGCCACATACTGCTCAATAACTTCCTTTTTCTTACCATACATTCCTTTTTATTTAAATAGCAACTGAATTCTGCTGATCAAATAGATCAAATGAATCAAATTTCTTCAAAACGGCAAATTTGGCGGATTTCGCAGGTATTGCCAGATGGACTTAAGCTGAAATTAGTCAAGAACGTAAACCTACCGGTACGTAAACCCGAGTCAGCTGACACGATCTGTCTTACCAAAGCGCCATGTAAATGAAAACTCAACACCGCAGAATTTTTCTGTAGTTGTAGCCCGTAGCGCAGAAATCTGCGGAATTTAGATTTTTCCGTGTCAGCTGATTTCTCCTTCTTTAGATGGTTGCCACTTCGTCAGTTTTACAGATGGTAAAAAAGATATAAGTTCCTACTCAAAATATGTTTAAAATATTTGAAATTTACTATTGAATAATGTTTTTGTTGAAAACTAAGTAGTTTATATTTAGCTAAAATCTATTATAGCACGAAAAATTTTTGTTGAAAGGGTAAGTTTATGAAAAGGCATTGATGAGTGGCAACAGTGTAGTAAGCAACACTGAGGGCTCCAGTAATCGACAAAATTCTGCGTATACAGACTGCGTTTAAGTATAAGTTCTGCGTTCTCGACTAATTTCAGCTTTAATCGAAAGTAGAAAAGTTGTACAAATTACTGCGCAGGTCAATGTTTGCACAGCTCAGTATGGTAATACTTGGAAATTTGAAAGAACAATTTAAGTCGAGGTTGAGATTTCCTGTAAATCTGTGTTTAAGCTATTGACTGATAGTTTAAGATGACATTAAAAGTTCAATAGAAATGATGTTTTTTGTAACTGCTTAGATTTGGATCTAAAATCTAAGTTACTAAAATCATTTTTTTTTTCAAGTCAACAGAGATAGTCACATGGACCCTTTTTCTAAAACGGAGGCATATTTGTGGTATTATTTATGTATTTGTTCAATTTAAGGCGATTAAAATTATAGTACATCTTTAATTCAGAATAAAAAGAAAAAAAAAACATTTTACTACTAATCCCACTAATTTACAAGTACATGTTATATATATTTTATTCGTATATTTATAAAATGTAGTAAAATACCCACTTATATTTACGGCCCTTTAAAATTGTATGGAATTGCCATAGCTTGCGGGTTAGCGAATTTATCTAGATCTGCATTTACTGCTTCCATCGGATCCACTAGGTGACACATGGGCAAGTTTGACTGGGTAGGACTTTGCTGAGGCTGCTGGACCATATAATTTGGAAGCGGCCGATGCATCCGTTGAACGGGTGAATTAAAATATTGTTGTACGCCACCTGTCATATGTGGATTATTTATGTGGGCTATTGGGGGTGGTACCATGTAATTTTGATTAAGATTATTAATCGGATGATGTGTGTTTTGCATCATTGTAGACGCGAACCCGCCACCCATGAATGGTTCTGACACAGATGGTACTACATTAGGAATTACTGTTGGTGGAACACCAATTACCGGAATACGAGTATGAGTTGTAACTCCTGTATTTTGTGTCGCTACAGGAGGATGACTCATTGGAGTAGGAAGCAATCCCATTGAAATATTTGCACGTGTACCAACGACATCTTTAGGTGATTCTTGGCGTTTCGGTAGGAAATGATTTCCTATCGTTGTCGATGAGATGGTATGAATGGCGCTACCCTTTATGCTGTTAGGTGAAGTGCTCGGTAATGTTGCACTACCGATTTCTGTGTGGTGTACATTTTCAATCGGTGAATATAATTTAAAGTTAATTTTTGGGCTTCCAGTAGCCTGTTGTATCAATGTTGGCAATGTTGAAGGAATTACTTTTGGCGATATATTTTCGTTTCGATTCGGGCGGGTGAATGAGGAGATCGGATCTTTTTTATTTGTGTGCAAATGCGTAGCTCCAGCACTAATTGGCGATTGCATGTACAACGGAGATTGAGCCTCAGTATGCTGTGAAACTACGCTCATGTTGGTTGTTGACAAGCATTTCGGATTGAGAAGACGAGGTGGAATCGGCCTTTCCATTTGTGAAACATACATTGAATGCACAACTCCATCAAAGTGGAAATATAAAAGGGGAGTTGGTGTGTGAGTTCGTAGATAAATTGGCTGCTCCAAGTTTGGCGGCGCCAATCCACTAGGCGGTGGTGGCGGTGGTGTTTTCTTATCGGACTTAGCCTTTTGTTTTGCCATGCGGGCCTTATCTTTGAACAAATTATGGCATGGAGGTGTTATGCCGAGCTTCTTCCTCAATCGCCGCATTTTGACACGTATTTTCGCTTCTACTACTTTACGGTCTTCATCGTCACTATTATGATTGGGAAAAACGCCATCCTCAAAGTTCACTTTCTTCTTCTTTGGTGCCCTGTAGATAGTGAAATAGTAAATTAATATTGTGTTAAGGTTATACATATGTACATAAATACATTCATATGAATTTACGTACATATGCTAAGGAAAAAATGATTATGTATCATTAGCTAACTTTCAACGCGTTACAATTGAAAATGATTAAACAGAAAAACCAAGACTTTAAATAGACAATATTTAATTGATAATAAAATTGTATCTACATAGTGGCAAACAAACCTCTACAAAATGTTTTGGAGGCGGTTTTTAACTTTTGAAAATGTTGCTGGTTACATACATATGTTTGAATGTATAACCTAATTGAGAGTTTGCAGATTCCCGTTTATTGGTCGGAGAAAATTTTAAATAGCAATACGAAAGGGCAAAAAAGTAGCAATGAGCAAACAATTATTTTAAGCTTACCATACAAAAAATTAAATTCTCATAAAATATTTGCTCCTGTCTTTACGTACATAATTTTTAGTTCCTTAAGAAAAGTTTAAATCTTTTTTAAGGTTAGCGTGATATAAAAACATTCATACATACTACAGCGGATTTCTCTAATAAGGTTGAAGAAGGAAGCATTTAAATTTTGCTTTTACTTACCCGACGAAGGCACTTCGTGATGAATTAGTTTCACCATCCAATGACTTTAAAATACTACGTTTGCCTTGTTCGCTATTAGAGCCTGTTGCTTCGTCCATAACTTGTTGATTGGAACTAACTTTTTTATTTTCGTTAGTATGTTCGGCCACGCTATCGGTAAGCAAGTCACTGCATGGCACGATTTCAAGCACATTTCCTTTTTGTACTGCTACAGTCGCCTTTGGTAGTTCCTTTAACAATGGAGATGGTGCATTTAAACCAAATGTCTGACTACCAAAACGATTGTAGTAAAAGTTGGATGCGTTTACGTTGGCTTGATGAGATACTGCAGAAAATAGTTCAGTTTGATCATTAGCCCCAGCTGGTAAATTCGAATATGTAGACTGAATAGCATGAGTTGGTTGAACTGTTCCACCAGCATTTGCCATTGGTACATACTGATTTGTGTAAAAGCTATTTGAGTCGCTAGGCAATGACATATATGCTGCGGGTCCGTACTGGCTATAATTATTATAATCTTCGTAAGTTGCGATGCCATTATTATTTTCATTATGACTTGAAGATGGCCCATTAAGCACAATATTTATACGCGCATCTAAAGATATTCTGCTAGGCGAATTATTAAAGTAATACGAAGTGTTGCTTTGACGTGGCGAATGTGGTTTATAGGCCTGATGCTTTGGTGATAATGACCGATGTCTGTTGCTTTCGTAGGATTTTGAAGGTGGTGAAACAGTTATTTTTCTCGGTGAACGAGAAATAGAACGCGAACGCCTTGCAGGAGATAAACTGCTCCGACGTGAGTCGCTTGGAGATGAAGTAGGGTCTGTTGGTGGTGATGGGGGTTTAAATGGCAACGGCGACCGAGAATAACGATCGCAACGATGACGAAGTGGAGGTGAAGATGGAGAACGGGAACGCGAGCGCGACCGTGAGTCACGTCTGGGTGAGTGTTTTCGGAATCGGTCGTCCATATTCAGAAGTGATCGTCGTTTACGAGGAACAGGACTAATATCACCCGACCGTCGACTAAGAGGACGAGTTACACTCGGGCTGCGGCTTCGACTTCGCCGTTCAAAATTGCGATTCCGCGATTGTTTTGAAAAAGCACCTCGTCTTTGAGGAGTGGTGCATCGTGCGCTACCATTCCTTTGCGGGCTGACAGATAGAGAACGCACTCTTCCTCGACGTGTTCGAGATCTTGATTGCAGAGAATGATGTGATGGCATTGGTGAACGACGACGTTTTTGATGATGACCGGATGGTGGTTCTTTAGACTCCATTATTGGCTTAACTATTGCAACTTCTTTGACTGGCTTTGGTGGTTTCACTGCCGAATTACTTTTTTCGGAAGTTTCCATTGCTTGCTTGGCTATTTCCATGTCATTATCGGCTTCAAATATAGCTGAGGTTTTAGGTAACTTCACAGGTGATATGGTCAATTTAATAACTTCCCGATTTGTGTCAAATATATTCGAAGCTTGAGAATTATCGTCTTTGTTTTGTAACTTTTGTAAGGATTGCACGAACTGGCCTTTTGACAATGATACCGATTGAAAGGATTCTATCGAGGTCTGCATTGGGGACTCCCATACATTTTGAGTTTCACTTTCTTTCGTTGTGGTTTTGCTCATTGAAGAGTCTTTGAATTTATTTAAAATTATATTTTTCTCATGAAGAAACAGCTTTTCCATTTTGAGCAATTCGTCGCTTATCTCATCAGCTGAATCATAATTAGCACGCATCATTTGTATACGTAGTAAGTTAGCTTCAAGGTTTTCTAATTTTTTCAAGTCTTTCGCAACATTGGGTTTCGAGTCATCATTTGTATGTAAAAAATGCATTTTGTGCTTATCTGCTGACGTTCCACTAACGTTTGTTTCTATAGCATTTTCTGTACTAGATGTTGAATGTACATCTTCTTTTTTGAGCGTATCGGTATCATTACTATCATCGGAAGCCGAATCACTTGAGCTTGTAGAGCTAGAAGACCCCGAAGATGAAATGCTTGTGTCAGAAGATGAAGAGGACGAAGAAGAATTAGAGGCAGAAGAAGTAGATAATTGCTCTCTATCAATTTCTTTCTTTACTTCAATGAGCGCAACTCCATTAGACTCTTCAGTTGGCTTTATGTCAGCACCTTCAACACTCTTAATAAATTGATTATATAATCGTTGCAGTTCGTTTGTATCTTCGCTATCATCGTTTGCCTTCGGTGATTCTCTGGGCGTGTAGCTAATTTTGGGCGATAAACATTGGCGAGGTGGAGAATTCTTAGGGGTTGTACTTTGAATTTTTGAACTCGATTCAGAGTTTTCACTATCAGCAACACTTGATGAAGGACTACATCCGGTAACATTTTTAGACATCTCCAAGTGGTTTACATTTTGAAATGCAGAATTTATATCGATTTCTTCATCATCATTCTCCCAGTTATCCGAATAGTCATCTGTGTCTGGACTGCCATCCAAAGTACGCAAAGCAGATTTGGTAAGATTACTGGGAGAATCTTCTAATGACGATTTTTTCGAAGTAAATTCTTTGTACTTGCTAGAACATTTCTTAGCACTTAGAGTGTTTCCTTTCTTTTGATGTTTTAAACTGGGACTATACTTGTGCAAAATTTTGGAATGTGCAGTTTTCATAGGTGTTGACGACTCTCTTTCATCCTTTTTATGCTTACGTTCATCTTTTTTGTTATCACTGAAGATATCTATTGGTGTTTTTTCTTTTCGTTTAGCGTCATCGAATGGTTTAGAGGGAGATGTGTCCCTATCTTTTGAGCGTTGTTTTACAATCTTATCTGGCGCTGTATCTCGTGATTCCAAAATATTCTGAACATTTTTCTTATCTTTCGTGGTTGAATTTTTAATTTTCTTTGAAGACTTGGCCATATGGACATTTTCTGTATGTTCACGAGATTTTTGTAATAACTTATCTTTAGTTGCTTGTATGGCTTCAAGTTTAAGCTCATCATCATCTTCAAGCAATTTATCAATTCGGTCTTGAATCTCTTGAAACTTGTGTGTTATTTGTACGTTAGTTGGATTGCTTAATGCACCCTTGCTAGCAACAGATGGCGATCTCTGTTTAGGAGGTGTTAAACTCGCAAACATATCCAATACCTCAGGCTTGCCCAAATCGTCGGCTTTGTCTACCAACTTCGAATCTTCTTTTATTGGTTCCTGTTTTATGGTTTTTAAAATATCAAGCGCAGTTAAGTTATTGGAGAATGGTTCTGGACTTTCTTCTTTTTTTATGGTACATATTGGGCTTTCTGGTTGGTTGTTTTCATTCTGGGGCGTATTTCCCTCGTCATCAGCAGTTGATGTGAGTAATTCCTTATTTGGTGAAAGCAATTGCTTCTTTGTGGGGTGTAGCGGCAATGTTTCGCGTATTTTTCTGATTTTCTTTCTTTTGCTCGACTTACGACTACTTTTGGTACTTGAAAGTGATTTATTGCTACTTTCCCGCTCCTTAGACTTTTTAGTTTTCTTCTTTTTCTGCACATTCTGATCCGAGCTGTTCCTTTTCTTTTTTGTTGGAACACGATCGAGTAAATTGAAAGCATAAGATATAGATGGTTTTGTTTTGGTCCACCTAAATTAAAAAAACAAAAAATTAAATTAAAACGAGTACACCTGACCCTCTATTTACCCAGTTCGCAGGGCGAGGAAAAACTCGTGTGAAAAATCCAACTTGTTCAAATAAAGCCGGATTAAAAAAGAAAATCATAAAATATACATATTTTCTTCGTGTCACAATTCGTTTCATTGAAAAATATGAATATGTATTATGCTTTCGAGACTGAGATAAAAACGCCATTGAGCGCCAAAACAAGCATTTTTATATAAAAATTTAGAATTTAAGTGTAAATAAATGAAAATCATGTTAGACTATATACATTTCGCAAACCCTCTTCAAAAAAGGCACAATCAGTACGACAAATTTCCTATTGATCCAAATATTCTTTTCCATGATTACTCAATATATTATTTAACTAGACATCTACTCTTATTGTACTAATTGCTTTGAATCTTTACGATCCAAAACAGTTACATATATTTCCGGATCTGATTTTTGAGTTCTGGCTCCTTTGAAGAGGATGTGCGATATAACACATATACTGTATATCGTCGGTCCCTACGAAGAGTAGCACATTTCACTATTCGCGTGGAAGACTAGCACATTTCACTATTAGCGTGGAAGACTAGTACATTTCAGATTTTTGCGTGGAAGACTAGCACATTTCAGATTTTTGCGTGGAAGAGTAGCACATTTCGTTATTTGC